AGATGTTTGAGTTTCTGATTGACAATAGTTTTTTAGAGATCAATTCGTCCAACGATCTTTGGAAGTCCGATGGGTCTTGTAGTCCCCCCTTAAAAGCAGACCTATTTTTGTATTCATACAAAGGTGAATTTATTCAAAAACTTCTACAAAGGTGAATTTATTCGAATTCAAAAACTGTCTTGCCTTCAAATCGACATTCAGATATATCGACGACGTTTTATCTATTGGTAATATTCATTTTTATTTCTATTTTTATATATCCCATTGAACTCAAAGTAAAAGACACCAGAGTCTGAAATATTTTATGTATAAATATTTAGATAATTCACTATGGAAAGAAATTATTGGAAAACTAACAACAAACAAGAGGCCCAAGGGCCTTGAATCGCTCTTCTGATAAACTGTACAACCTATCACTTCTATTTGAAGCCTACTTTTCAGTTGTTGTACTCCGAGGACCCAAGATGCATCAACTGACAAAGTTTGATGATTCTTAGCCAATTAGTATCCGAAATATTTAATTATAGTCATACTAATTGAATAGTAGGTCACGGTGACCTACTTTTCAGTCGACCTACTGCGAGGACCCAAGATATATCAACTGACAAATTTTGATGATTCTAAGCCGAATAGTACCCGAAAATATTAAATATAGCCATAAAATTTCAAAAGTAGGCAAGGGTGACACACTTTTCAGTTTTCGTACTTGAAGGACCCAAGATGCATCAACATACAAAGTTTGTTGATTCTAAGCCAATTAGTACCTGAAATATTTAATTAAAGCCACACATTTTCAAAAGTAGGTCACGGTGACCTACTTTTCAGTTGTTGTACTCTGAGGACCCAAGATGCATCAGCTGACAAAGTTTGATGAATCTAAGCCGATTAAAAGCATAAATTTTCAAAAGTAGGTCACCGGTGACTTACTTTTCAGTCGACCTACTTCGAAGACACAAGATGCATCAATTGACAAAGTTTGATGATTCTAAGCCAGTTAGTACCTGAAATATTTAATTATTGTCATATAAATTGAAAAGTAGGTCACGGTGACCTACTTTTTAGTTGACGTTTTTTGAGGACCCAAGATACATCAACTTACAAAGTTTTATGATCATAGGTCTTAAAATGTCCAAATTCGAATCGAATGCCTGCAAAGTTCAAAAAGTAGGTCACTGCTTTTTGTGACCTACTTTTATTAAAAATGTTTTATGGTCCCAAGATGCGTCATCTTACAAGATTTAATGATTCTAAACCTCTCAGTATTCGAATTAATGACCTTAATTATTTTGAAAAAGATTAGCTATAAAATTCAAAAAGTAGCTCAAGGTGACCTACTTTTTAGTCGACGTACTCCGAGGACCCAAGATACATCAACTGACAAAGTTTTGATGATCGTAGGCCTTAAATTGTTCAAAATATGCCTCTAAATCGAAAAATTCCTGTCTCTCTGATTGGCTGAGATCCAACAATGTGGAAAAAATACTGCGTTATATTCACCTTCATGTGACTTCCAGGTGAATATATGGATTTGTTTTCTCTACATTGGTCTAAAAATAGGTCGGGAAATTCCAAATTGATACAAATAGTTTTGGAAAGCTATTTAACTTGCTACCTACCTCCACTTAGGCGAACATAACATTAGGGAATAAATAATTTGGGGAGGGGTTGCACTTTTTTGAACATTAATTTTTACTTTTAATTTAGACTAAAAATATTCATTGAAAGGCAGGTCCCCCACTAATGGACCTTAATCCCCCACCCCAAACTTCATCTAATCCCAAAACAAAATTTGAGGTTAAGAGAGAATTTTCTTATGCGTAGGGGCTATATTCAAAGATTTTTTTCAACATTCATTTTCCCTAATAATGCTCCCCATCCCTTTCAAAATCGATCCTTTTAAAGAGCTGACATTATTTCTTTCTTTCATAGCATCTAAGGTAGATTTTAAACATTCCAAATTAATACGACTGGTAATGTTTATTAAACTTGCTTCTTTCATTGCATTTGGCTAGCGCTTCAGCAAATGTAAACAAGTAAGAAAGCATGAACTGCTTAATGAGCTTGTATCATTTAATCATTAAATCATATAATAAGGCAGACAACTGACAAACAAGTTACAAGGGTATCAATAGTCTTGTTAAAGGTGGCTCATTACACCCACAGTTTATTTTATATTTCATTAAAGTACCATTAATAATGTACATTTCAAATATCCAAATGAAGGTTATTATACTTTAAATATTTTTAATGATTTTTTAAATTTTTTTCTGGTTGTAGCAGAATAAGATATTTGAGGTTTCTTATCAAAAAAATTGCAGAAAGTTCGGAATCAATCGATGGATGTCTTCATCAGTTATGAAAAGAAAGGAAAAACACTTCATAATATTCCATAGTATTTTTATTAGAAAAATATTTTTTTATCAAAAAAAACAAAAAAACAAACAAAAACAAAAAACAAAAAACAAAAAATAATGTACCCATATCTTCTTTATCTGTGCCTGAATGATTTGGAAAATCTGTTGTAAATAGACAATAAATATATATCAAGGATTAGAAAGTGACAAATTGAATGAAAATCGTTAAAATGAAAGAAAAATTACAATTTCAAAAAAAAATCTGGTATGAAAATTCCACTTGTAAGAGTAATCTTTCCTAAATCCCCCAGACTCAAAACACTGGGGGACTTTTAATCATCTAAAATTCAGAATAAGATAAAATTTCAACATATTATTTGAAAATGATGTAGATTTAATAAATTTAACCCAATTACACACTGTATTTGTATAACCTGTCAAAGAACTGCAAAATAAATGAAATGTGTCTGAAAATGAAAGCAAAGAATATTTATTAAAGGGCAAAAGCTATATATCCCCGAATCTTCGATACGGGGGCATAAAAAAATATACATGTAACATACACTAATTCAAAACTACTGCGAATCTTAGCACACAGATGTATACTTACAAAATGCATGTATTTCAATATTATGTATATTTTCATGTACTTTTTTCTTCATCTCTTAACGTAGTGCTGACCTTTATTTTTGTCTTAATGTAATTTAATATTGTGTTCAAAGTGGCATACATGTATAGGCACGATGGGCGGGTGTTGATTTATTGTTGTTTATTTACTTGTAAACAAAACATGTAATGTACACATGTCAATATAAATAAATAAATATTTTACTTACTTTAATAAAAAAATAAATAAATAAATAAAAAAAAAACTTTACAAGAAATTGTTAAGATTTTTTTTCAAGGGACTGCAAAAAACTTTGCTATATTCTTATATTCCCAATTCATTTTCTAACTAAACGAATCTTACTTTGTAACAGATGTAGCCCTTTTAGCTCACCTGAACCGAAGGCTCAAGTTAGCTTTTCTGATCAAAGAGTGCCCGGCGTCTGCCTGTCGTCTGTAGTCCGTAAACTTTTCACATTTTCGACTTCTCAAGAACCACTTGGCGATTTCAGTCAAACTTGCCACAAAGCATCCTTGGGTGAAAGGGATTTAAGTTTGTTCACAGGATGTGCCGCGCTCTTTATGAAGGGGAGATAATTCAGAATTCGTGAAAATGTGGTGGCATCTTTTAAAAATCTTCTTCTCAAGAACCACTAGGCAACAAAAATATGAAACTTATCTGAAAGTTTTATTACATCCTCTAGATTCAACTGAAGTTTGTTCGTATCATAACTGCCGGGGTTAGGGCGGGGACACAAGAAGGGATCGAAGTTTTACATAGGAATATTTGGGAAATGTCTTTAAAAATCTTCTTCTCAAGAACAGCAAAGCAATGATAAGTCATATTATAAGAGAAGTATCCTCAGGTAGTATAGATTCAAGTTTGCCCCAATATAACTTCAGGGGTAGGGCAGGGCCAACCCAGTGGGTCAAAGTTTTACATAGGAATATATAGGTGTAATAGTTAAGGGGCATTTGCAATTGAGTAAAACGCATTGAAGACTTCAAATGGTGGAATGACCTGATAACCCTTGGAATGGACTAGCCAAACCAAAGGGTATATAAGACAAAGCTTTGGGAAAGCCATACATTCGTATCTATCAATTGGAACCTTAAAGAGAAACACGGTGTAAGTAGTACCTTATCCAGTCCCCGCCTCTAGATAAGAGAAAATTTAAGTACTGGGTGACATACCCTCAGACAGAGGTGTCTTAATAATCATTCCAGTAATTAACTCAGACAGAGTAAAAGGAAAAACCTATATATCCCTTCTAAGAACCCGATCATACACGTTACATAGGAAATATCTTCTTCTCAAGAACAACTTTGCCATTATTAGTCATATATATACAGAAGCAACATTAGTTGTTGTAGAATCAAGTTTGATCAAAATTTGACCCCCCAGGGGTTGGGGGGGGGGCACACCAGAGGGTCAAAGTTTTGCATAAGAATATACAGGAATCATCTTCAGTAAATGTTCTTTTCAAGAACAGCAAAGTTATGATTAGTCATATTAATATAGAAAAAAAAATTCAAATTTATTCAAATAGATACTCAAATAGATTCAAATTTGTTCTTATTTAGGGTGTGTAGGGTGATGCAACAATGAGGAATGTTTTACATAGGAAAACATAGGGAAAAAAATCTTTAAAATTCTTCTGTTTAACAACAGTAAAGCCATGATTATTATCGGCTGCAGTAGCGGCCGATATATTTGTGGTTGTACTAGATTGTGCACAAGGGGAAATGAGGCAATATTATTTCAATGCTTAGATGGAATAAGTTCTTATTGATAACATACATAAAAGTTATGAATAAAAGTTTTGAAAATTTGCTTAATATAAAGTCTAAATGGTTGTTATAACGTTTCAATTTGTTTTTCATTTCCCATCAGGTATGTATTAATTTATGATTTTATAAAAAGTTGTTACATGAACTGCTCCACAACATGGGCGTGCGTATGATATAAAAACAAAACGTACTATGTTTCCGGATTTGAATTACAGTGCCTGAAATAATAGAAGAATTGTAAAAAGTTTAATGGAAGGTAAATTTTGTTTTGAAAACACTATGCAAATGACAGAATGATTTTTCCCCTGCACTTCACATTTATTGTGATATATATTATCAAGTGAAAAAAATCCAGGGTTATCAGCATGTAAAGTTTGTACGCCCTTTTTGATATCATTCACACAATCATAATTATAGATATTTGTTGCATTATTCTACGAATCATATAATTTGATGAACATATATTTCTTTCCTTTATCTCAGTCCGATTTTCATTTCCATGAATTTATTTTGACTAATGATCACTGAAAATGAAAGTATAAAAAAGAGCACTGAAAATTAAGGCAAGTGTAAAGTTTGCACTAAAAAAATGTATCATGTATTTTTTTTTTTTCTACTTTGATTTTTTTCTTCTTTGGACTCTTTCTTGTGGAAATGCTTTTAAATGCTAGTTTTACTATATTTTTACGGCCGATTTGATGCTTTGCATCAATTTAACCTGTTAATATTGATATGGAATCATCCTGAGGTACTGCAAATTAAAGTCCCCCCCCCCGTTCAAATCTGAACTGATTTCTACTTATTCCTAGCCAATGTGCTCAGGTGAGCGATGTGGCCCATGGGCCTCTTGTTTCGGTCAATCTATGGATATATCGACCTCACAGTAAAAAAAAAATAATTGACCTCATTGAAGTACATGTACCATATTTGTATAATGTATGATTTAAAAAAAGATGTTTGCTTTAAATTTACTATAGTATTTGTGTTTTGTCTTTGGTGTCACGGTCTAAAAAAAAAAAACTCTTCAATACCTTTTGCTTATTGTTGCATGAAGCAAACCACTGTAGAGATCATGCTAATTTGTTAACTAACTAAACTGTATTATGAACCTCCTTCCTTTCTCAATTAAAAACTGCCCCCCCCCCCCCAAAAAAAAAAAAAACAACAAACAAACAGCCAACCGACCAAAGGAACTAACAAACAAACAAACTACTGCATATGACACCATATCCCCATTGGCAATAGGTTTTTTTGATTTTTGTTATCATTTTTGTCTTTATATTCAGTCGAATAGAAACCTCAAAGAAAAAGCCTCCCGTTAGTGGATGGAAGAGCTTGTTTGTTAAATTTAAAGAATAAATTATTTCTTTATTGATAAAAGGAAAACTTAATTAAAATTAAAATATTTATGAAGAACTACTTTTTTCCTCCGAAGTACGGAAAAGTTTTTGCAATCTGTGAGATTAGCTTGCTGCCTTTGAAAATATAGTTTATTTTTGTCTTTTGATGTATTCTTTTATAGATAATCCTCATTTTGCATTTAAACTGGAGGCATCGGTACGAAGTCCGAGTTTAAATGTGACTATAAGAGCAGATGCCTCCTCAAGTAACATTGTTTACGTAAACAATACACACAAAGGCAACAAAGTAGACGCTTACGTGTACGTAAAGACTGATTTGGACAGAGAGGTATGAGGTTTTCGTCTAATTGACATGATAAAAATGAGTCAAATCTCAATACCAACCTTACTTTTGCATAATACTATTTTTCTTTATATACGTTTATGATAGATTTTTATGGAATGTCAAATGTTGCAATATTCGATCTTTAATTTGTATTCTATTATTTTCTATTTGTATTGTATAATTTTTCATATGTTTTGTATAATTTTCACTTGTATTCTATAATTTTTCATTTGTATTCTATAATTTTTCATTTGCATTGTATAATTTTTTATTTGTATTGTAAAATTTCTTATTTGTATGCGATTATTTTTCATTTGTATTGTATCCGCGGATTGTTTATTTGTTTCGTTACGAAGGATTTCTTTGGTCCAGTTTTAGCCTGTATCGGGTTGAAGATGTTCCGGGTGCTCAAAACAAACTGGGTTCATATGTATTTGCGTGTATTTTAGAGGACGTTCATTGGATTCTAAAACTGGGGCACTGGCAGATGGCAAATAAATAATCTGTCCTTAGAAATGTTGACTGAGAAAATAGATAAATTAACCTTGGATGATGGTACCAACCCCCAAAGAAACTGAGTTTTCGGGTTTGGGCAGATTTTCTTCTTTTCCTTTTTCCCTTGTGTCTGGTCATATTGGAAATAAATATTCTCTCCTGCGAGAGAATGAAAATAAATAATCGGATTCGACAAAATTTCCCCCTCCGCGAGAATCAAATGGTCGACCCTTAACATGCACGCAAATAGAGGAGCCCAGTTTGTGTTTGTAGAGAGTGCGCCAACGGTATTGTCGGAAGGGTACTAGACTAAGTTGTGTTGGCACCTGAAACATCTCGCTCGTTTTGAACACTTTATACAGACTAATGACCAATGAAATCCTTTGTAACTAAATAAATAAACAATCCTCGGATACAATGCAAATGAAAAATTATATATATATCGCATACAAATAAGAATTTATACAATACAAATAAGAAATTATACAATACAAATGGAAAATATACAATACAAATAAATGTTATACAATCTGAATGGAAAATTATACAATCCAAATGGAAAATTATACAATCCAAATGGAAAATTATAGAATACAAATAAAAATTATATAATACAAATGGAAAATTATACAACACAAATGAAAAATTATACTATACAAATGAAAAATTATACAATACAAATAAAAATTATACAATGCAAATGGAAAGTAATACAATACAAATGGTAAAGATCAAATATTGCAACGTTTGACATGCCATAGATTCTATAATTTCATAAATTGTAGATGAAATCTACCTGGACTCTTATTTTCATCGCCGAAAGTAGCAACTCTAATGTTCCTCATGTAAGATTCTCCATTTTTGGGCTTGAAAGTAGATGCTGCTTTGCTTTGTGTGTGGGTGTGTGTGTGTGCGTGTAAAGAGAGAGAGAGAGAGAGTTGCATATTATACAGAATTCCTGTTTCAAATTTCTTTCATCCAGGTTATTGAAACTATCACACTCAGTCTTGTTGACGTGAATGATGAAAGTCCTGTCTTTAGTCCTCCTGCGTACCAAATCATTATACCAGAGGTTTGTATGAAATATAATAGACGAATGCTTTTCATATTTTATCACATCAAACATCAGAAACCTTGCTTAATTATAAATTATATGTAATCTAGAACAAGTTTAAAGGAGGGATGCAAAGATTCCAGATATACGTGAAATACTATTTCAAATTACATGGCTAGAAAATTCTCAAATTATTCTTTTATTACTAAAATGACGATAAGGACGTTGTTATAAGTCACATGCTTGTCAAATGATTGAAATCTTGGTAACAATCACCCTATGGAATTTTATATCTCTTGGGTAAGTGGTAATTTCAACTGGGGTCATTTTTGTATTGGTTGCAATTGTAGAAATCAGACCCCTGAGGTATTTTTGTACAAAATAAATACATTTTTCCACGACTAAGAGATCAATTTTCTTCGTCGAAAAGTGACCCCGGGTCATTATTCTTCCGCAAACATCATTCATTTTTACAACAGCAGCACTATATTGTAAATTGCAAATAATAGTGTTTTGTATAAAATTCATTCTATTGGGTTAAGGTGGGTTTATAATAAAATTCTATCGGGTTGTGTTGACCGAGGTATGTATTGTAGCTTTATAAAACGTGCATGACATCGTGAAAACGGCAATCTGAAGGTCATAACTCTCTCAGTTGTTGTATAGTTTCCATTATTTTATTATTCCAAGGAGCACACGGCGGGTGTGACCGGTCGGCAGGGAATGCTCACCCTTCCATGGCACCTGATCCCACAACTGATGTTTTTGGAGGTCCATGTTTGCTCTGTCCCGAATTGTATTGTTTAAATGGACATTGAGCATGAATACTGTTCGTTATCTCCATACAACGTATTTCATTCCTGTATCTTAAACATGATAATCAGAGGAAAACGACTACGTATGATACGTTTTCCAAACAGAATTATTTTACTACACTTTTCCAATGTGAGGAATGTTAAGTCCTTAATTTTCACAAAATTCATTTTTTTTAAATATTTGATGGAAATATTGAATTAATTTGTGTGTAGTTCTGTGGTTGGAAAAAAAAAAACTGATGGTAGAAATATATGATTTTGGGATTAGGCATTTTAATACATGTTATCCCTGAAGGACATGGATTCTTATGTCTCTACAAAAAGATCAAGAATAATTGATTTTTAATAAATACAGAAAAACACTTTCTTACCATTAAAAGAATGCTTGAATTTCGCTGGAATTTCATGCAAATTTGCTTTACAGGACTATACTGTCTACACCAGAGTTGAAAATTTAAAAATCGTTGCGAAGGACCCAGACAATGGACTAGGAGGACATGTAACATACAGCATAAAGGTAGAATATTTAGAATACAATTACTGTAAAAGCAGAAATATTCGTTGGGGATTAAATTTCGTTTATTTCGTTTTTCACAATTATCAACGAAATTAAATCCCACACGAAATTTTTATATGTCTACATATTGAATAGAATCACTTTCGAAACAACGAAATTTAATGCCTACGAAACCTTTTTAGATGACAATTAAACGAAATTTTATCCCGACGAAAAATTGTGCTTCTACAGTATTTCTATTTGACAAACGCTTGATAAGCTGATTTAATATGTCACTATAAATTGTTAATAAATTAGGGAAATGCTAAAGGATTTTGGTTTCTTTAAAGTATATATTATAGATGAAAGTATGACCTTCAAAGAGTTTGAGGGGAAAAATGCCTACTCTGTATTAAATTCTATTGAAACAAGCATTCTGAGAGCATTGCACAAGAAATTCTAATCCCGTACCAGCGAGTTTAGTCTGGTCCCTTCTGAGAATTAAATAGACTGAAACCATGGAAGTTGAACGAAATGAAAATTATTCTGTAACTCATCAAGGAAATTCACATACCAAATAAAAAAGACCAATATATGCAAGCAAGTAGCAAAGAAAGGTGCGAAAAATCGAAATGGGACGGGACGTCTGGCAGAAAGATGGACAGAAAGATAATAAAACAGACAGGTAGACAAATGACAGTAGTCGAAATTTGCTTTTACCGATAGGGGACTGAAAATGCGCAAAATGATAGAGAAGTAAAAAAATGGAACACGTTTTACTTTTGTACACTGGGATTGAAAATATGACGTTTTATGGGTTTTGAGGAAAGAAACGATGAAAAAGACTTATATTTATTTATACAAAATGGTCGATTTAACATTCTTAAATGAAAAATCAAAGATTCTTTTCAACACTAATTAATATGAATTTAAAGCTTTATCTTTTACTGTGATACTATATTTTTTTTTTAATTTTAGCCAACTGGTCAGGTAAGTATTTTACAATAAACAGTTTATATTTTGTTTTTTGTATTTTCAAGCTTAATGTTTCTATCATCTGTATTATTAATTGAATTTATCAAATCCATCTATTTTAAAGGCGGAGGAATTGTACAAAGGTTATTTCTCTATTCACGTAGAGAACGAGGGATCATACCTAAAACTGCAGAAACAACTGGACTATGAAACATTAACGTTTTTACAATACCAAATAATCGCAACGGTAAATTTAGTAAATTTGATTTTCCATACATTCACGCTAATCACAAAGTTTTAAAAAGGAAAGATATATGTTAAGCATTACGTTTAAGGGTTAAAGAAGTCCTTTTTTTTTTACTTTTATGTTATCTATGAAACTAATGACTTTCATGTACAAGGATTTTTTTCCTTAATCTTGTAGGTTCCTGGTCTTAAACAATTGTAAATTTAAAAAAAAATAGTTTATTAAAGAATTCGAAATAGCGTATTTATTTATGATAGTGATTTGTTTCCATTTAAAAAAAATATTCTATAAAGAACAAGGTACGATTTCAATACAAATTTTGCCCTGTGTTTTTCTTAAAGATGAAAGTAATGTAAAAAATTAAAACTCATGATTTCTGAATCATTGAAATTACACACAGAAAGATCATACAAATCATTTTTCTCACATGACCTTCTAAATGCTAATTGTAACGTCATAAACTTGTGCATTTTCCCGTATTTTCTTGAAAAGTTGCAGAAGACACCAATTTTCAATGGAATTTTCTCTCAGATGATATTGTCCACAGGCATCGCCCACAAAGATTTTGAGATATGTGATTTTTCAAAGAATTTTACACAACATATCCGAAAATAAACGTGGGTGACGGCTGTGGACATTATTTTCTTAAGGAAAATAACCCTTGAAATGGGTCATTTTGAGACTTTTTCTGTTTAAAATAGAGAAATGCATCAAATTAATGACGTCATATTTCCAGAATGGTACTCTTTCACGCTATATTTTTTCCTGATTTATCACTGTCATATACTCAACAAATGTTTAAGCCAGTTTCAAAACTTTTTGAAGGTATTAAATTTTTAGGGCACAATAAAGCTAAAACCGTATCTTCTTCTTTTATAGACATTATGTAAACATGGCTACAAAATTTATTAAATTACTTGGAGAAATTTTTTATACGAAAGAAATGAAAGAGTTGTTTCTATGGTCAATAAACGCCTTTAATTGTATTTTCGCAATTTAACGTAAAAATAAAAAAAAAAAACGAGAGAGAGAGAGAGCGATTTAACTCACAGGTCAGTCCTACTATGAAAAATAGTAGAAAAGTTGATTTAGGAAATGTTTTATTCTTTAATTTTACATACGAAGTTTATATACTATATTTTAATGACTATTTGGTGAGAGGATGGGGAAGAACCCTTTCACAACAGTACAGCTGAGCTTCTCGTAAAAGTAAAAGATGTGCAAGATAAACCACCAGAGTTCCAGGGATTACCGTACATCAAAAGTGTCTTTGAAAATGTTACTGGGGTACGGTAAACTTCATTGATATTCTTCGATTATTAGTATTTTCACTACACAGAAAAAAAGAATTATCAAAATCAAAGATTTTAGATAATGCAAAAATCATCATGGTTACATTTCTAAATTTTTTTTTTATACTTACTGTTAATTTCTTTGTGGTATACAGTATATGTTTCTACAGGTCATATTTACCGTGAACGCATTGGATGGGGATCTTGGTATACCGAGGTCTGTCAAATACGGACTTATAAATGGTATGGCGATATTAGAAAAATTTAGACATCCAAATATATTTAGTTTTTAAAATACAAACAAATAAATATTCTTAAAGGTAATATATATTTTTTAAGATTCATGTGCCAGTTACTTTAGTATCAATGAAACAACTGGCGAAGTAATTGTTCAGAAAACGTTAGACAGAGACAGTGGGGAAATCCATGATCTCCGAGGTGTTTGTTCTATTAAAGTAGAGGTAATTGAGTTTTTATAAGGAATGAATTTTTAATCAGCTATTTAAGTTACTAGTATACTGTAAAACATTGGTTTGGACAGTTTACGCTTTAAAACCGCAAAGGGGTTTATTAAAAAGCATAATTTGTTCCAATCCAGGCCATACAAGTATAGTTTGGGTAGCTCTGACATTTATTTCCTATAATTTAATTTTTTTGTCATAAAGCATAAAATATTTTATTTTTTTTTCCCCTTTACAAAATACCTTCAAATTGTACAAATTTCAAATATAAAATAAAACGGATCGAAAGTTTTAGCTGATCTGAGCTGAGAGCATAAGTGAGCTTTCCTGATCACATTTTGTCCTCATCCTCTGTCTGTCTGCCTGTCTGTTCATACGTCTATCTGTTCTTCCGTCTATAAAGTGTTCACATTTTTGACTTCTCCAGAACTAATGTGCCAATTTCCACCAAATTTGCCAAAATACCATTGGAGAAAGGAGATTCAGATCACGTTTTGAGCATTTTTTAATTTGTATGATTATTACAATGACTTGGAGTCGCCTGCGTGGTACAGTGGTTAAAGTATCTGCTCTAGAGTCGTTGAGTAAAGAGTTGATCTTAACGTCGCGGGTTCGAATCCAACTGCGGGACGTGGATACCGCTCCTTCGGATAAGACCTATAAACCGAGCTCCCGTGTTGCAGTAGGTTCAGGCATGAAAAAGATCCCTCACTGCTCAATGGCTCTGATTGCCGAGTATAGGTCTTAATTTGCAGCCATCCACCAGCAAGTGGTGTCGTCTCTGTATGATTGAAAAATTTTCTAGAGGGACGTTAAACAACAAACAAACAGAAACAATGAAATCGGTGTCAAATAAAATTCAAAGTTTGATAGAATTTTGACTGACACATTTTATTCCAATTGTTACGCTTTTGTTTTTGTGCTGAATTTGACTACGTATTATTCCGTTAATCATGGCGGGTTGTGAAAAGATGCTTACTCCTCCATGGTACATGTACCTTATCCCATCTGGTGTTTCCAATGGTACATGTGATTGTCCTTTGAAGGATTTATAGGATTCATCATTGTTCCTTGTCTTCACCTTTTCATTCATATAAATATTTTCATCACATGGAACTTTATTAAATTAAAACGCATTTTTTAACTTCTTTTTTATTGCTGCTAGGCCTTTGAAATAAATACGGACAAAGCTAACGAGACACGGTCTGTCACTGATTTGACACTCACTATTAATGACGTAAATGATAACCCACCAACTTTCTCTAACGGAACCTATGAAGGCTTTGTATCCGAGAATACGACTGGAATTTCTATAACATTCAACGAGAACATCCTAGTGGAAGATATTGACCAGGTTTGTAACCTAATCACTACATAGAACAATGTACTTTTCATTTATATTTTTTACAATAAAAGTTGCAAGAGTAAACACAAAAAACTTAATTTCGAATATCAAAATATGCATTAACAATAATTCTTATATTTTCTTAAATAAATATATAGGTATTTTGATAAGTTTTATTAATAAACTTTTTATCAAAGTGTTTCATTATGAAAATGAACTATCTATGTTGAATATGTGCGCACTTCTTTAAAATATATAAACTTAGATTTTAGTTTACTCGAGACAGACATAAGGTTTATCAGTTGAAGAGTAGCAGAATGCATTTTAGTAAAAAAGGGGCCCAAAATGAGATTCAAAAATTTTCAAAAGTTTCAATCTTTATCCTAAGAAAACTGGACAGCAACGTCAGATATAGGAATATCCCTTTGTAGTGTAAATGTTTTTTGAATTTGGCTTTTGAGGCAATTGTAGGAAGATTATGTAGATTGAAATTTAACGATGAAATTTTTTTTTTTTAGAAAAGATCTAGTTTTCTCAAGAATATGAGGGTTATAATAAGTCACAACGATAAGCAATCATCCCCAGTGAGCCTAAATTTGATTTTTTTTTTCTAATCATTATAACTGGACAATATTGGGTGACTAAAGGGAATGTTGTGAAGAAAAAATTATTTTTATATCTGCAGGCAACAGTTTTTCATGGTCTAACATATGTCCCCCAAAATAAAAATTTGCTAAGAGATTTAATTGAACTAGATTTTCTTGTGTCAGGAAAAAGGAGGGATTTGGTAAAGGGTTCTTTTGTACTAAATATAAAAAAAAAAAATAACTAAATGCAAAAACAAATAATTTAATCCAATAAATTTCAGTATAATTTCTTGTATCGATGACACTATTTAATCAAGGCTTTTTTAATATGGAAGATATCCACCTTTTAATACAAAATTTAATTCCAATACTTCAGAGGATAGTTGAAATAATTATTTTTCTTAGGTACTACCTGTGTTTTATAGTGTTTTAAATTTGAAATTTTCTTCATCCAGAATAGACACAACACGATAAACTTATCAGTGTTTTACTCCAACATGACAGCACAAGATAGCGTGCAAGCATCGCCTGGAGAGATTATAGGAAAAGGAATAGTAATACTCCGTGTTATCAAACCATTTGACTTTGAAAAAGAAAGGGAAATTGAGCTTGTGGTAATTTTTATGCTCCGCCATAAATATGGCCAGGGCATATACATGTACTGTTTTTCATGTCTGTCTTCCGTCCTTCTGTCCGTCCGTCCGTCCGTCCGTCTGTCCTTCCGTTTCACGTTGTGTTTAGCTCAGTTTCAAAGACACTATAAAAGATATTTTTACCAAACTTCATATGTTGACATATATTTATAAGAGTTATTCAACTGTTCAATATTTTTATCTTGACATTTCCCTTTGCCTTGACTTGGTGTCACTTTTCTTAAATTAGTGCTTAGCTTAGTTTCAAAAAAATATCAAGATATTATTTTTTATCAAATCTTTTATCAAATCTTACATGCTAATGCATACTGGGGAGATCTATTCAACGCCATCAATATTTAACAGGTTGATCCTCACGTTGGCTTTGACTCCCCTTTTTCTTAAATTTGCGTTTAGCTCAATTCCAAAGATACAATTCAGGATATTTTTTTTTTATCAAACTTCAGGTGCTTAATACATACTGATGAAAGATATTAATCCTCGTCAACATGTTTTGACCTTGCCTTTTCCTTTTATCTTGATCTCACTTCTGATAAAATGATCATCTCAATTTCAAAGGAAATTGAAATATTTTTATCAAGTTATTTATGATTTTACATTTTGTTGAAAATTCTTCAACTGCATCAGCATTTTTTTTATCTTGAACTTTCCATTGACCTTTTTTACTTACATTAAAGTTACGTATAATCTCAGTGGCGAAGAAACTATTCAAGGATTTTTAATCAAACCCTTTTATGCGTATACGTATTGATGAGAACCATTCAATTACATCAGCATTTTTTACCTTGACCTTTCATTTGACTTTGACTTCACTTTTCTCAAATTTGTTTTTAGTTGATTCGATACGCAAGAGCATGCTCTACGTTTGTACAATTTCTAAAACGAGGTAAATTATTGACAAACAAGTTGATGAAACAAGAATATAAGCAGTCTCGTTTAAAGTCATCATTTCGTAAGTTCTATGGTCGATACAGTGACCTTGACAGCAAATACAATGTATCATTAAGTCAAATGCTGATTGACGTTTTTCATACTAATTATTAGGCCATAATTTACACACTGAATTGTCGACGGATTTTTCCGTTATTTCCCGATCATGACAAGGAGCACACGGCGGGTGTGACCGGTCGGCAGGGGATGCTCACTCCTCCATGGCACCTGATCCCACCTCTGATTTTAGAGGTCTGTGTTTGCTCTGCTCCTATTTTGTAATGTTATATGGACATTTGAGCTTGAATACTGTTCGTTATCTCCATATATTTCATTCAAATCAAGATATTTTTCAAACTTAAAATTTATATATATATTGGAGATAGCTTTTCAATCTTATCAATCTTTTTATCTTTTCCTTTGACCTCTGACTTAATTTTTCTCAAATGTACGTTTAGGTCAGTTTTAGAGAAGAATTCTATTTTTTTATATAAAATATTTTTGAAATTTTTATGTAAGCTAATTCCCTTATACATTATTTAATGAATTTATTAACTGTGTCCAGTTCTCCTTCGACCTTGGCTTTCCTAGTGATCTTTTACTTTACTGTTTATTGTGTGTAGAACTCAGTTTTAAAGAACCACTCAAATATTTTCATCTAACTTCATACACCTACAATAAATATTTACGTTGCATTACTAATGAACCCAGGTCGGGGCATTCATGTCCTAAGGACATATTTTCTAGTTATGCTAATATACATGTAATTGATTTTTAAATAAAGGGTTCATTAATGTTGAATTATAACAATCTATTTCTGGCGAATGATTATATTCCAAAGCCCCGTGTATTAACATTTGCCAAGTTTTAGCAATAATTTCCCTTTCACTGGATTCTGGACATGTGCATTTATCTTTATTTAAGAGCTGCGATAAGTTCTATATACAATCAAAGTTAATATGAATATTATACTAATTCACATAGACATTCGAAACACAATTACACCATTAGATAAATATTTTGTTTTAAGCTGATATAATTCCATGCTATAAATAATTAGAGACAAATGCTAATTAAGAATTTAAAATTTTTATCTTAGGTGAAGGCAGAAGACAAAGAAAACCCATCTCTTTTTAACACAAGTAATATCACAATAAGGATCAAAGACACAAATGATAATGATCCAGTATTTAAGAATGAAACGTATGAGTTTTACATAAATGAAAACAGCTGTCAGGACACAGCAGTTGGCACAATAGAGGTATATATATATATATATATATATATATATATATATATATATATATATATATATATATATATATATATATATATATATATATATATATATATATATATATATATATATATATATTTGAAACAATACTCAACAATAGTAATAAAAGTTTTGAAATACATGTAAAAATAAAAATAAGTTTATCTAATCTAATAGCATTTGTTTACTTTAGGCTTCTGATGCCGATTGTGGTGAATTTGGAAATATTTCATACGGAATAAATGGACCAAACAACGGGTAAAATTACTATTTATGCACAATTATCATAAATAGCTCAGATTTACATGTAATCTCCAAAGCAATATTTCTGTTTTGTAACAAACAGATGGGTTTTATATTTTGTCTTTACCCCCCTTCATTCTAAATAAGTATCTGATTGATATATTTTAGTTCATCAAAGATTTATTTTCCCAAGTAACAATAAGAACACGTCGATTTTAAACCAAAATTGTACAACCTAAAGTGTTGCAAGTTTTAGGACTAATTTGAATATTCCTTTATTTAACAAAAAAGTGCACTTTATCTTTGAATCGTTGTGTAAAATTTTTGCATTATCTATTTGATTTTAAAAATTATTTATTTAGAATACTAAATACTGCATAGAATTTACAAAAATATTAAGAACATTTAGGAAAGAAGTTTAGCAACTCAAATCGCTTGTTTCCAATTCTTAAACATTTTAATAATGAAATTGCATGAATTGAGAGTTGTATGTCTTGAAATAGACTTAGAAACTGATCTCCAATAACATTAATGATTACAATATGATACACCTTGACCGAAGTATATATTTTTGTTTTTCATAGATGAGCTATATAACATTGTTTCTCTTTCTTACTCAATAATGTTATTGCCCATAACTTTCGATGTATCAATAACGTCTATTCTGTAGCTTTTTCGCTAAAGTTGTATTATTTTGGATGATGATCAACGGATCAGGCAGACATTTTCTTTGCTTAAAATCTTAACAGTTTTGAAATATCTAAAAATGTTATGCTTTTCAAAGATGTAAGGCATTTTAAATATAACAGGTTTGGTATAGATAGAAAAAGCGGAAATATCTACGTGGCATCAAATAAAAGTTGCAGATGCTTAAATATAAGTTGTGAAGAGAGTCTACTGGACAGGGAGAAGATCCCGATGTATTACCTGACAATGGAGGCTCGAGATGGAGGGGGGAGGCGAACTCCTGTATCTGTTGTCATTCATCTTAAAGACGAAAATGACAATCCCCCTGAGTTTCGAGACAAGTCATATGAATTTAGCATAAAAGAAAATTCTTATGTTTTTTCATCTGGAAAGAAAACTGCCGTTCTAACGGTAATTTATTTAAGTTGATTCTTTTGTAATCATATTTCTAAACGTTACAACCTTTGTGAAATCTTTGAATGACATATTTCATAATTATTGTATTTAATCCACACATTTATTAAATTTAATTTTAGGCATCAGACAAAGATGAGGATTTAACCCCTAACAGTCGCATATCTTTCTGTATGTTGGATAAAAGTAACGAATGTGCTTATGATTCATACTTCAAAATGGACAATAATGGAACCATGACGTTGATAAAACAGCTGGATTTTGAAAATTTAACCAAGTCGTCTAACCCACAATATAGAGAGCTTATTTTGAAGGTCATGGCATATGATCATGGCAATAAATCAATGAATTCAACAGTAAATGTGACGATTATTGTACAGGTATTTTTTTTAGCTGGACAGCTGGAACCTTTTGTTTAGTTTTTTCTTTATCATGCTAAGAGAACTTATCTTTGTGTAAAATTACTCATTAACGCTCGTTTTGTGAAACTAGTATCTACACCTGAAATGTTCAACTGAATAACATATTAACTTTCTTTTTATAATACATAGTTAAAACTGTATTTTTCTGTAGGATGAAAATGACAACAATCCAACTTTCAGTGAAAACTATAAAAGAAGTGTTAAAGAAAACTCGCCTTCGGGTATCTCTCTCTTGCTTTAGTTCCTAAGAAACCTTTTATTTGAGTTTGTGTGTGTGTGTGTGTGTGAGGGTGTGTGTGTGTGTGTGTGTGTGTGTTTTTTTTTTTTTTTTTTTTTTTTTGGTACATGTAATGTAAGTACAATCTACTTCCTCCTTTTTTGAATATTAAGGGAAAAAAACACTTCAAGAACATTGTCATACAGGTCTCCCATGATCAATGAATTAGTCCGTAATTATGTTCCCCAAACGAAGTTGGGGAACATATTGTTTTTACTCTGTTTCTTCTTCTTATTATTATTTTTCTTCTTCTTCTTCTTCTTCCTGGGTACTTTTTTGTCCGTGAATGATCTCGTCAACTACTCATCCGATTGAGGTGAAACCTTTTTAGGGTTAATAGGCATGTTATGTAGATTTGCGGAATCAAGGTCATTTTGCGCGCACGTGCATGCACGTGCGTGCACGTGCAATGCGTAAAATGACCAATATACTTGATATAGCTGTAACTTTTATATTTTTTGATGAAATGCTTTGATACTCAGAATATAAGGATGTATTAAAAGTGTAAACAAGATGACATGGTCAACATGCACATGCATGCACGTGTGCGCACGCGCAAAGCGTAAAATAACAAATATACTTGATATACTCGTAACTTTTATACTTTTTGATGAAATGCTTTGATACTCAAAATATTTATATATATTAAAAGTGTAGACAAGATGACATGGTCATCATGCACATGCATGCATATGCATGCACGTGCGCGCAATGTGTTAAATGACCAATATACTTAATATAGCCGTAATTTTTATATTTTTTTTTATGAAAAGCTTTGATATTAAGAATGTACAGATATATTAAAAGTGTAGACAAGATGATGTGGACATCATGCTCATGAATGCACATGCGCGCGCGTGCAATGTGTTAAATGACCAATATACTTAATATAGCCATAACTTTTATATTTTTTTATGAAAAGCTTTGATACTAAGAATAAACAGACATATTATAAGTATAGACAAAATGGCATGGTCATTATGAACATGCATGCAGGTGCGCATGCGTGCAATGCTAAGATGACCAATATACTTGATATAGCCGGACTTATTTATTTTTTGATGAAACGTGTTGATACTGAGAATATAAAGATGCATTAATAGTATAGATGAGATGACATGGTCATCCTGCACATGCATGCACGTGCGCACGCGTGAAATGCAAAAAACGATCAATATACTTCATTGCCTTATTTAATGAAGCTTACAGGAAATAAGACACCAAAAGGGTGTTGGGGAGCGTTTGGGGAACATCTGTAACGGTCCCCGTTACAATTACAACTAGTTGTAAATGTTATTGAACTTTTCTCAGGGACACATATATTAAGTGTATCAGCTGAAGATGATGACGGGACAGCCCCGAACAACGAAGTTTCATATTTCATTTTCTTGGGAGGCTCTGACCAGTTTAAAATGGATGGAAATTCAGGAAATCTATCAGTTCAAATTGGCGCAAAATTAGACAGGGAGAGTGTTTCAAGTTATAATCTAACGATCATTGCCATTGACAAAGGAAATCCTCAAAGAACCGGAACTACAAATGTTACCCTGATAATAGATGATATAAATGACACGCCTCCTGAACTTCTGAATCTTCCCGACAGTATCAAACTTGAGGAAAATTGCACAGATAACAAAGTAATATTCAGATGCAATGGCTCCGATAAAGACATCGATTCATTGCTTTGGTATTCAATTGAAATTAAAGAAGCTTATGATCACCTCGGTAAAGAATTCAACGTTTCTAAGGTAAGGGTAGGTGGCATATTCTTGTTTTTTTTCTAGGTAATTTTCAATCAAAGGTATTTTTTATTGTATTTTCGTGAAAAAAAGGAAGAAAAATTCAAAGTTCCACTCTATCTTTCTTCATAGTGCATTTTTAAGATTGAAAAGACATATTTAGAACTATTACAAATATATACGCATTGCTTAAATTACAGAAGTAAACAATGTTATTGGTAATATTTTCATATTGTCATTGCAACTTTATGAGTTACAAAGATAATCAAGGTAATCAATGAAATAAAACTACAGATAGGTTCAGAATGCGAATGACTTAGTTTTACTTTTCCATATTTTTAAGGACTATTTTACGATCAATAATACAACAGGAGAAATACATGCAAATATGATTGATGCGGAGAAGGAATCTTCATTTATTTTGAGCGTTGTCGTAAAAGACACAAAAACACATGAGAATTACTCTGCTACTGCCAAAGGTAATGCAAGATTAACAGATAAAAGGCTTTTAATCTTTCTGCAATTCTGCGAGAAAAATTACCAGAAATTAAAATTGCAGTGTAGGATGATTTTGAAGTTTGTTCAAAAGAAGACTTTCTTCTTTTTCATGAAAGAGAATAGGAATTAATGCAAATAGTAGGGAGTCTCTTTGAAATACATTTTAATTCAGAAAGAATTAATTATCTTTTGATTGTGAAAATTCCATTTAATGAGAACAATTCAAATTCGTGCATTTCATATCCCTGAGAGTAGGGCCACAATAGGTATCAGTGTTTTATATGAAAGTATTTAAAATTAACATTTGAAGAACAAAACAGCGTTGAAAAAAGGTTTATTTTCAAGCAAGCAAAAAAAAAATTACACCATTTTTGTTCAGAAAATGAATGAATTTGAGGAGCTTTCAAACAATTGTTTCAAAATAACACCTTTAAAATAATGGCTTATTGAATTTCAGCTAAGCTCACTGTTAACGTAACTGACAAAAACGACAACCCACCTGTGTTCACAGCTAAATCATTATCTGCTGGAATTCTACGAAGCTCCCCGTATAACACAATAGTATTGGACTTAAAAGTAAGAGCAATCAAAACATTAATCTTGTCCATGTAAATATTGTTTTAAAAATGGTAAATCCTATGTAACGACTATGTTAGTTTTACAGTCCCCCTAAAATATGTTGAATTAATATATTTGTATATCTGTCTTACTGGATTTATTCAATATTCCCTTAAAGAAGTTAAAGATAGCATATGTATAGCATATGTCACAGTATTTTTTTTTTCTCATTATAACAAATTATTATTACAAAGTATACATTATATTTTCAGACATAGTTAATTTAATTCAAGGTGAAATGTCATTTCATTTTTTGTTTTGAAGAAGTTTGTTAGGGATCAAGATATTACTGAAAAACACAGGTTACATAAATTCTACATGTCTTCCATAAAAAACCACGGAGTGAAGAATAATTCTAACGTTATAACCACAAGCTGTAAGAAGGCATTCTGTGTGACTGAGAACGGCACTGTCGTTTCTAATTTCTTATTCACCGGAAAAGGAAGCATTGAACTAAATATCAGAGTTAATGATACAGCAGGATCCAGCGACACAACGTTAGATGTGAGTAGTTCAAACACACAGAAAGAAATTTCTTTTTAAAGCTTTGAATAAATATGCCTTATGCCTTATACTCCCGCTTTCAAATGTTAATTTTCATAGTAAATTGTTAATGTCGGATCATATATAAAAATATATATTCTGTGTATCATATGCATAGTTTTGTATGTGTTAAAGATTTATATCATCGATGAATCACAACAACTTTCAATGCATTTTCAAAGACCGAAAAACGACGTTAATAAAGTGCAAGAGGATGTATTGAGGTGAGTAATTAAATATCGTCCAATTAATATTTATTTCATACAGACTTTCACCCTGAATACATGTATCATTTAAAAGCTGCGTTTGATATTTTAAACTGTCATTACAGGACTTTATCAGCTAAAATCGGTTACAAATGTGTGTTTGATGAAATTAATCCATATCAAGACACAGAAGGAAATATAATTGAATTTCAGTAAGTAATTTAAGTACACTTTTTACGTTTAGTTTTGAGTGGATAAATATTTGTGATATATATATATATATATATATATATATAATATATATATATATATATATATATATATATATATATATATATATATATATATATATATATATATATATATATATATATACAGATATGAAAAAAATTCAAACATATAAAATAATTTTTACCTCTTCGTTGAGTTGTTCTCCCACTTTTTGATACATTTTTTCTTTTTTAAGTATCCTAATGTTAAGGTGGCATATGTCGGAGCCATTTTTGTGCCCATATCCGTTCCTTTTATTTGTTTAAAATGTTTTCCATTATATATATATATATATATATATATATATATATATATATATATATATATATATATATATATATACACGCATGCTTAATTGAATTTTATTTGATGATTTTTAAGATCACTGTTAACATTCCACGTCATAGATGAAAAGAAAAGAGAAGTATTGGATGCAATCTTTGTACAAGGGTATGTACTATATTCCCTCTCCTTTCCGTCAGATCACAATTACTAAAAAGTATTTTTTTTTGTATCCAACTTTTTTAAAAGCAAAATTGGTATGTGTTGTTAAATATGAAGTTTTCAAGTTACATGAAATTTTTGAGTTGTAAAAAATATTTAATATCATTCTTCATGGTCTGAGTATTAGAACGAAAAAGTGAATGTTTAGAGATCATAACTGGTGACTATATAGATTTGGACAAAGAATACACTGTCATTATACAGTCAGAATCTCTGTCTATTGTATTTAACAAGAAAACACAATTTTAGCGTTCTAGATAAGCATGGGGACGACTTAAAAGAATTGCGAAACCATTACGGAGTGGCTGCCATTGGTGTAAGACGTTTTTGCATTTAAATGAATCATATTTAATCATTTTTCTATGAATTAATTATAAAAAATATCAATTCTTATGAGCACTTTACTATTTTCTTTAAGAAATAAAATAGCATTGTGATGTTGCTGTCATAGATTTAGGGATTTGCTTGTAGGCATTACAGATAACTGATGTAGAAGATAAGGGCAGCAAAATTAAGGAGACGTATATACTAGTGGCAGTTATTGTTCTTTTAACACTAATACTAGGAATTGTCATCTACTTCTACGTAACGTCGATCTCAAAGTGAGTTTTTTCAGCATAAAACAATTGATATAAATGTGTAATTTTTTTCTCTGCTAAAAAGAGTTATAAACGATACAAATTTCTTTAAATGAAGATTGTAAATAGAACTAACCTTTTGTGTTTTAGATCTAAAAGAAAGTTGAAGGCTGCGACTATATCATCCACGGGTAAATATGCCTCGATAATCCAGAGCAAGCGAAAGTTGTTTTTTAACCTTATGATAATTTTTCTTATAATTCATTTTCTTTAAAGAGAAGAAAAATGGTCAAAGTTTGGGAGATGCTATTATCCCAGGCAGCAACATATTTTCGAAAAAGTAAGTGTTGTTATTTTTTTAGTTTATAACAACGATCATAAAGTTAATTGACAAGGTTATGTCCTTAATTTTTGGAACTTATTCTAGCACCATAGATTTATTATCATTATTTTTTTCGATCTTAGATTTCGATTTCATACACAATACTAGACATAATCTCTCTCTCTCTCTCTCTCGTAATCTTTATATATATTCCTTATTCTTTGCACTTGACAACTTTTGTAACTTTGCAGTAGGAACCCTTTAATCGATAAAGACGAGGAAGTACAAAGAACAATCGGTTACCAGGATAATACAAGCTTGGCGGGAAGGTAAGAACTTGTAAATGCCATAAAACCTTTTAAAAGTAGAAAATGTAAAGTAGTTTAAAGAAATGATTGAATAACCGACAGAGAACAGTTAAACGGTATAACTGGGGAAAGGAGTGAATGGTTTATCAGCATTTTCTTACTTTTTTTCAGATTGTAAGAAACGATCAAGATACTTCTTTGGCTTTTATTATTTCACTTTACTATTGTAGCGAAGATTCTTTGGACTGCAATGAAGTAGAATACGACAAAAGTAACTACTTCCTCGAGAAAGACCCAGTAGAAGAAAAGGAGGCGGTTCTGGAGATGTATGGAGAGGATGGGGGAGTTCCTGTCGGTAACGATGATGACATGGCATTGTTAAAACAAGCACTGCAACAACACGAGTTAACTACAGAGAATGGGAATGGGGGATCAAAGGGTGGGGGGTTAGATGTCATACAGGGGAAAGTCAACGAGGGGTACGAAATAGTTGAGGCCACGGATGTTTGATTTTGGTTTGATTGATTGATTGAACAATTTGGGGCAGAAATAATTACTATATCATAAATATATAAGTGAACAATTTAGAGACAGATGCATTTTTTTGCCTATTTTAAACACCAATTAAAAATTTAGAGACGAAATTAATTCCTTCATCACAATAATAAATAACTATATCACGTAGTCGTATTTGTGATATTTCATTGCATTTGATGATCTATAATTGTATATGTACATATATGTTCATATTAATTTTTTTGTTACTTCTTTTAATTATTGCACATGGTTTGAGGCTGTTTAATACAGAAATTGAATTATTGAATTCTTCTCGCATGTATATAGGAAGTTTCCCTCCATATTGATTGGAAAGTCGTAGCTATCTTATAGTAACTTGAAAATGATTTCTAAATAGAATTAGAACTGAGAATTTACTTTTTAATGTATACTTGATATCGACATCCTACATTTTAGATAAGTAAAATACATATTTTTCTTAATCCAGCATGTAACAATGACGTTCATTCAGTCTATTGTGTTTTTATTATCAAATAAGTGTATTGATGATGCGTTTTGTTTTAAAGATATCAATTCATTTAAACATTTCTTATGCATTTATTTTACAATCTTAAAATGTCAAAGGACAAAAGAAAATTCTCCAATGTAGTTCATAATGCTAACAGTCAAGATAATAAAGTTAATTTATACGCGAATCCTCATACAATCCTTTCTTATCCTTATACACGATACCTAGAAATTCAAAAGAATACTAAGTTTAACTTGAAATATATGGAAATAACGAACAGTATTCAAGCTCAAAATTCCATTAAATAATACAAATCAGGAGCAGAGCAAACACGGGCCTCTAAAACATCATAGGTTGGATCAGGTGCCATGGAGGAGTGAGCATCCCCTGCCAACGCACATTTATCAACAAATAACGAGACTTGTTTCTTTATACATTGATACAATAGAATAAAAGCAAACGAATTTCCTTAAAATTGGATTGTTTATACTTTAAATACATGTAGTATTAAAGGCATATAAAAATTTCATTGGAGTGACAATCACAAAGAAATAAAATTACTATACACAGGGAAGTATTCGCCCCTTGTGTCCTCGGTGAATTTAGACAGGCGAATTTAAAGAAGACAGCATAATCTCTAAAATACAACTGTATCTAGACGAATTGAAAAGAGGGCAAAATCGTAAGAATGGCAAAAAGAACTCAGAGCGAAATTAACCCTGAACATACATGTATTATCTTCCTACACATATAGGTGTTCGGATAAGTTACGTACAAGGAAGTGCTCTCCTTTTTACTCACTAAAATGGAAAGCATTGTCACATATTTTCAATGATCATAACGAATTCCAAATCTTCATAAACATCCTTATAAACAGAGATACTATTCATAACGGAATCTGGCAAATGTTCTAGCAAGCTTGTTTCTTTACTCCTCACGGAAATAGCAGTGAAGGAGAAACCTTAGGAATACTGTCCAATAATATACTACACGGTGTTAATCAGATGTGGATACTTAAAAACTCCACGGAAATTTTAGAAGATTTGAAATCACAAAATTTTACCAATGTTAATTGCATCAAAACGTAGAACTTTTCAACACTTCATAAAACCATTCTCCACGAAAATTAAATGCCAGGCTTTTTGACATCATAGATAACTGTGGGGTTTTTATTAGAAGGAAGTTAACATTTAAAAAAATATGAGTTCCTCATTGAAAGTATCTTTGTACTCTTTGATGAAGAGGTTTCCCAACAATCTTTTGAATTCCCATATGAATGCTAATTGTGCCCATTATTATCATCAGACCTTTTTAGTTCACCTGAGCTGAAAGCTCAAGAGAGCTTTTCTGATCACATTTTGTCCGTCGTCCGTCTGTCCGTCCGTCTGTAAACTTTTCACATTTTTTCACTTCTTTTCCAGAACCACTGGGCCCATTCAACCAAACTTGCCACTAAGTATCCCTGGGTAAATGGAATTCAAGTTTGTTCAAATGTTGGATCACGCCCTCTTTCAAGGGGAGATAATTAAGAATTAGTGAAAATTTGGTAGCATTTTTTTTTTTTTTTTTTTTTTTTACAAATCTTCTTCTGAAGAACCACTGGGCTGAAAAAGTTGAAACTTATGTGAAACCTTCATTATACAGCGTAGATTCAGATTTGTACAAATCATGATCTCTGGGAGTAGGATGGGGCCACAATGGGGGATCAAAGTTTTACATAGAAATATATAGGAAAAAAATCTTTAAAAATCTTCTTCTCAAGAGCAACAAAGCCACAATTAGTCATATTGATATGGAATCATTCTCAGGTAGTGTAGATTCAAATTTGTTCAAATCATGACCCCCGGGGGTAGGATGGGGCCACAATGTTGGATCAAAGTTTTACATAGAAATATATAGAAAAAAAATCTTTAAAAATCTTCTTCTCCAGAACAACAAAGCCACAAGTAGTCATATTGATATGGAATCATCCTCAGGTAGTGTAGATTCAAGTTTGTTCAAGGCACGGTTGGCCGGGAAATACCAGTGGTAAATACCGGTATTTCCCGTCCCGGGAAATGCTACTAATTTTCTCTAAACTGGGAAATACAAAGTTAAAGTTTTTTTTATTATTAGCTCACCTGAGCCGAAGGCTCAAGTGAGCTTTTCTGATCACATTTTGTCTGTAGTCCGTCTGTCCATCTGTCTGTCTGTCTGTCTGTCTGTCCGTCTGTAAACTTTTCACATTTTCGACTTCTCAAGAACCACTGGGCCAATTTCAACCAAACTTGCCACAAAGTATCCTTCGGTAAAGGGGATTCAAGTTTCTTCAAATGAAGGGCCACGCCCTCTTTCAAGGGGAGATAATGAAGAATTAGTGAAAAATTAGTAGCATCTTTTAAAAATCTTCTTCTCAAGAACCACAAAGCCAGGGAAGATGAAACTCATGTGGAAGCATCCTCAGGTAGTGAAGATTCAAGTTTGTTCAAATCATGACCCCCGGGGGTAGGGCGGGGCCACAGTGGAGGATCAAAGTTTTACATAGAAATATATAGGAAAAACCTTTAAAAATCTTCTTCTCAAGAACAGCAAAGCCATGATGAGTCATATTTATATGGAAGCATCCTCAGGTAGTGAAGATTCAAGTTTGTTCAAATCATGACCCCCGGGGGTAGGGCGGGGCCACAATGGAGGATCAAAGTTTTACATAGAAATATATAGGAAAAATCTTTAAAAAATCTTCTTCTCAATAACAGCAAAGCCATGATGAGTCATATTTATATGGAAGCATCCTCAGGTAGTGTAGATTCAAGTTTGTTCAAATCATGACCCCCGGGGGTAGGGCGGGGCCACAATGGAGGATCAAAGTTTTACAAAGAAATATATAGGAAAAATCTTTAAAAATCTTCTTCTCAAGAACAGCACAGCCCTAATTGGTCATATTTATATGGCAGCATCCTTAGGTAGTGTAGATTCAGATTTGTCCAAATCATGACCCCTGGGGGTAGGGCGGGGCCACAATGGAGGATCAAAGTTTTACAAAGAAATATATAGGAAAAATCTTTAAAATCTTCTCAATAACAGCAAAGCCCTAATTGGTCATATTTATATGAAAGCATCCTCAGGTAGTGAAGATTCAAGTTTAAACCATGACCCCCCGGGGGTAGGGCGGGGCCACAATGGAGGATCAAAGTTTTAAATAGAAATATATAGGAAAAATCTTTAAAAATCTTCTTCTCAGGAACAGCAAAGCCCTGATTGATCATATTTATGTGGAAGTATCCTCAGGTAGTGAAGATTCAAGTTTGTTCAAATCATGACCCCCGGGGGTAGGGCGGGGCCACAGTGGAGGATCAAATTTTTACATAGAAATATATAGGAAAAATCTTTAAAAATCTTCTTCTCAAGAACAGCACAGCCCTAATTGGTCATATTTATATGGAAGCATCCTCAGGTAGTGTAGATTCAAGTTTGTTCAAATCATGACCCCCGGGGGTAGGGCGGGGCCACAATGGAGGATCAAAGTTTTACATAGAAATATATAGGAAAAATCTTTAAATATCTTCTTCTCAGGAACTGCAAAGCCCTAATTGGTCATATTTATATGAAAGCATCCTCAGGTAGTGTAGATTCAAGTTTGTTCAAATCATGACCCCCCGGGGGTAGGGCGGGGCCACAATGGAAGATCAAAGTTTTACATAGAAATTTATAGGAAAAATCTTCTCAGGAACAGCAAAGCCCTGATTGATCATATTTATGTGGAAGTATCCTCAGGTAGTGTAGATTCAAGTTTGTTCAAATCATGACCCCCGGGGTAGGGTGGGGCCACAATGGAGGATAAAAGTCTGAAATAGAAATATATAGGAAGATATGTTCTGATGAAGAACTGCAAAGCCATGATTAGTCATTTTGATATGGAAGCATCCTCAGGTAGTATAGATTCAAGTTCGTTAAAATGATGACCCCACGAGATAGGGATGGGCCATAATGGGGGATCGAAAATTTTACATAGGAACATATAGGAAAATATCTTCTTCTCAAGAACTGAAAATCATGTTTAGTCATTTTGATATGGAAGCATCCTCAGGTAGTGTAAATTCAATTTTGTTCAGATGATGACCCCTGAGGGTAGGGTGGGGCCCAATAAGGGGATCGAAAGTTTTACATAGGAACACATAGAAAAAAATTTCTTCTCAAGAACAGAAAAGCTATGTTGAGTCATACTGATATGGAAGCATCCTCAGGTAGTGTAGATTCAAGTTTGTTCAAATGATGACCCCTGGGATAGGGAGGAGCCACAATGGGGGATCAAATTTTCACAGAGGAATATATTGGAATTTTTTTAAAATCTTCTCAAGTACAACAAAGCCATTTGTTAAAACAAATTATATATTGACATGGAAGCATCATCAGGTAGTTTAAAATTCAAGCCCCCCCCCCCCCCGGAATCTTTTCAATACTGAACCGATTTGTGCTTTTGCCTTGCCAATGTGCTCAGGTGAGCGATGTGGCCCATGGGCCTCTTGTTTCTTTAATTCATTCAATCTTATACAAAATTCAAAAATAAAATAAACATAAAAACAGAAGATGAATAATATGGAATATGTCTCAAATTGTAATTTAACATATTCAGAGCCTATCACTACATGTACTCCTGAGTCCAGGTCCCATACCTATAAGCATTCTGAAACATTTCCCTGGCTGTATAAAACTGAAATCGTCCAATTCAAGTTTCTTTTCAGTTTTGTAAAATTATTAAGTTAATTATAAATCCAAAAACCAACAAAAAATTGTGTTAATCCTTCTATAAACACTGTAGTTATTACCAACAATCATGTTGTTTTAACAAATTGCTTTGGACAGTTTTGCTCCTGTTTTGAGAGATAATTACCTTGAGTAGAACTGAAAGGCTTCTTCTTAGGTTTGATATTTATACCATACTCTACATTAAAATTTTAAGAAATTTCTTAGATCCTTCTTTAGTTACATAAAAAAACCAATTGAGATCTTTGGGCTCATTTCACATCTGACTCAAGCATGAAACAAATGACACTCATGGCTGGTATGAGTATGCTGTGTTATGATTATATAAAATGAATTACCTGGCAACCAGAAATCTTTAAATCAGGGACAGTGATACCAGGTAGATATCTTGGCCAATAAAGTGTACTACATGTTAATATGAATAAAATATGTAGCTATTTCTTATTTCCAAGTATTACCCGGGAAATACCAGTAATTACCAGTATTTCCAACTGTCCTGGGAAATATGAGTATTTCCCAGTTTTTTGCCAACCCTAGTTCAAGGCCATAATGAGGGATAAAAGTTTTACAAAAGAACGTATATAGGAAATATCTTTAAAAATCTTATTCTCAAAAACAACAAAGCCATGATTGGTCATATTGAAATGGAAGCATCCTCAGGTAGTGTAGATTCAAGTTTGTTGAAATCATGACACCCCCCCCCCCCAAGGTAGGGAGGCAGACATCTTTAAAATACCGTTTTCAAGAACAACAAAGCCATGATTAGTTATATGAATATAGAAGCATCCTCAGAAAGTTAAAATTCAATTTCATTCAAAACTTGGCACCTGGGGGTAGGGTATGCCTTGAACAGACGATCAAAGCTTTACATATGAATATATAGGAGAAGAAATCTGCTGACCAAGAACAGCAGGGCCATATTGACTCAGGTGAGCGTTGTGGCCCATGGGCCTCTTGTTTGTATTCTTATGAAGCAGAGTTTATTCAAAAACTTCTACATGAAAAAAAGAAGTCTCTTACTCTAGCCTTCGACAATTGGATACATTGATGACTTTTCATCAATTAACAATACATGTGCTTACTTTCATTAACACTTTGATTACATATCCCTTTGAACTCGAAATAAAAGACACCATGGAATCTGACACATCTGATCATATTTGGAAATTTTATTGGAGAGAGACATTGATGGTAAATTCAAAATAAACCTTTATGATAAACATGATGAGTTCACATTTTCTATCCTCAACGTCTCTAATTTATGTAGCAATATAGCTTTATCACCTGAATATGGGTTTTGATTCCCGATTGGTTTGATCCTGAAGAGCTTGTTCTTTGTACGATTAATTTCTAAAGTGAGACAGGCTACTGACAATAAATGATGAGGCTGGGTATCAACAATCTCTTTTTAAGTCAACAGTTGACAAGTTCTATGGTCGATTGATTGTATTATTGTTCTACGTCCCATTTGAGAATTCACTCATAGAGAGACTACATCATCTTAATGTTCGTTATTATCATATTTCATAGCAAAATATTTATTGTCAAAACAGACATTGTTAGACTCAAACTATTTACCAGGATTTTCACCTCTCTTTTTTCATTTTATTGATTTGCTCGAATGTACCGTAAGCCACATTTCTGACTGATACTTCATCTTACAAGCACAAAGTGGATTCCTTTTGCATATATTTCAAAGCTACAAATATTATGCATATTAATTTATTTTCACACAGTACTTAAATTCTTTTCTCTTTTTTTCATTTGATTTGGGTTGAATATTTGAAAGACAAAGGCTTTGGTCTTATTCAGTTCTACCATTAAGAACGCAAAGGAAATAAATATCAACTTTTGTAATATTGAATTGATATCAAACAACAGCTATTTCAAAAGAAAAGTTTATTTGCCATAGCAATTACATTGAGTTAGAGATATCGATCAGCTGCTCTCATAAATAAGAGATATCAATCAGCGTACATATTTTTAAAATTATATAAAAAAACTATCATGTGTAATCAATTTTTTCAAAAATGTAATATTTGGTACAAATTCTTATGGACATTTATTGAAAATAGTATGAGTAATTTAGGAAAAAAGTATTTGCCAGAACTTTGAAACAATAAATCGATTCTTAATTGTTGTGGTTGAAAAATTAATGAAAAAGGACAAAATCTTAATGATAATAAATTCAATTGAATTTTCATAAGAAATAGGAAACTTGTCTTTTGAAAGTAAAAATTTACAACACATTAATTATATACTAATGCCTCATTAAACAATATATACATTATTCAAATCGTTGCATAATATATATATATATATAAAGATTCAACACAATACACAGTTCCTCTTAAGGTTACATTTCATTCCGCCACAAATATTTAGTGTGACACATTTGGTTTTCCATCTTCTATCATTTACTGTGACACACATCTGCATTTCACTCTTATCATGCCATTGAAATGTAGTATTAGACATCTAAACACACTTCATTGACTTCGATATGCTGACGAATACATAATCATACTATATTGATTCCGTCATATATTTCCAGTGTGACACTTAACTGATATATTTAAAATATAACAAACATTTATACGCTCCATTGATTCCGTCATACATTTTCAGTGCGACACCGATGTACACACTTCATCAAACAAGATCGGGAATCTTCAAATATTATCTTAATAAATATCAAAATATTATTGATTAAAAAAAAAGAATTTAGATTTTGCAAAATCTATAAAAATGTCTATAAAGTATCTGTTGCTAAAATTAAATAAGTTCCTACCAATAGAAAGTATTTTTGGTAATTTCAACGCAAATTTAATCGTAAATAAACAGTACACATTTCATCTTTTATTTGCACAGTTATGTCCTTGATTAAAAATGATTTATAAATTAATACGTGCATTTATATTCGCGATTGATTTGAGTTCTTGTATATCAAGTACTGGAAAGATGCATGATAAATGATTCCACTGAAAATATTTTCAAAAACACTTAAGGACAAGTATTTACTAATTGTTTACTTGTTTTCACTTCAGTAATAAATGTTCTCTTACAGAAAAAATATGAAAAATAAAATCACAGAATTGCAAAATTATACCAACTCTACAGGTAAATTCAATAGATACATGTAACGAAAACACAAGTTACTTCATTTTTCAAATTTTCATGGAAAAAATATACAATTGGATTTTTCAGTGTTAGCAATGATTCATTGTATTCAATATTGTAAAAGGTAGTGGAAGGGGGAAAAAAAATATTTGTCACTGTTTTGCAATAGATTAAAGCAATGTATCACAAACAGGTTCTAAAATTTGCCCAAGCTAAAAAGAAGGGAGAGCAAAACGGCTCCTAGAGAATAGGAGAGACTTGGGGCTGTAGACTGCTTTAACGGGGTTATAGAATTGCAGTCTGCGCTGGTACAGCAAATTCTCTGTCCCCCGTTATTAGTGTGAACAGATGTTAAACAGCCGCTTATAGTCGCTTCACAGCCGAGTTCCTCCTTCGTGTATGTGGAATTTGATGTTAACCTTGCCTGAAACACGTAAGGAAAATAATATTTATTAAAACAACAAAATGTTCACCTTTATATTATCAACTACACATTGTTACTGAAAAAGGTGACGATAACGAACAGTGATCGATCTTTAAAACATCTACAAACAATACAAATCTGTAAACAAAAAATATAAAACACGGACTCCCAAAATTCCAGAGGTGGGATCAGGTGTCTAGGAAGAGTAAGCATCCCCTGTTGACCGGACACACCCGACGGGAGCCGTAAGTATATTGATCAGGTACACGAAATTTTAGTGTAAAAACAAAGGCCTAACGATTGGTATGAAAAACGTCAAAATACGGTGTGTTATATTTGCTAAAAAGGTCATTATAACGACCACAGAATCGAAATGCTGACTTTAAACGAGGTTGTTGAAGCCATGTAACTTCAACCTATCTGACAGTAATCTGCCTCGGTTTAAAAAAAAAATCTTATTTGACAGTCTACATAAATATATCGGATTCATCAAATTCATAGACGGTGAGACAAATTACACAGCTCTCTCTCTCTCTCTCTCTCTCTCTGATGATGGATTTCAGCATAGGTAATTGTACTTTTGTAGATGTAGTGTTATGATTAAGGAATGTTTTTAAGTTTTGTGTGAGTTATTGGTATGTAAATCACACAGACTTGTCACGTAGGCATATTTCATGAAGCGTGCTAGCGCTTCATGAAAAAAATGCCTACGTGCAAGTCTGTGTGATTTACACACCAATATGTTTGAATTTCTCGCTGCCCTATACCGTCACATTTTTATTAATGTCTCTGTATCCTCATTGTGACGTCACTTTAGCGCGAGTCTCTCCGTGTATATTTCTACGCGCAAGTATACACAAACATGGTTTACAAATCAATTTCACAGTGGCTTAGTAGAAAAACACAGCTAATGTAAATATTATAAATGCGAATTATTTTTAAGAATTTAATTTTTTTTTTAATTTTACATCAAAGGAAAAAAATGAATGTCTTCACATAAATATTAAAATATTTTTTCTCTTCAAATTAAAGTATTCATATGACTGAATGTAAGCAATGCTTTAACAGATATATCTACATGTAGCTATTTTGATTTGTTTTAGAAATTAACATACTTACAAAGCAGTAACCAGATGTGAAGCAATTGCCAATTGCATTGTTATCAGTTGCATTTTGTATACAACCATTGTACTCGCAGGTATAGTCATTGCAGGAAATATTTCTTGCCTATCAAAAAAATTAAACGTTATGTATTTGGCCTTGCTCTTATAATAGAATAATGTTCTAAGCTTTTAAAAGTAATTATCTATGTCAAAGAATCTTCTTTCAACAATAAACTTTAAAAAACAAGTTTTGATTAACTGATAATCATCTAAAAAAGAGAGAAATATGAAGAATATACCACAGTAGTGGTGGCTTCGGTGGTAGTGGTTGTTTCTGCTGAAGCTGTTGATTCCGATGCTGTTGATGTCATTGTTGTTTCAGTTGATGAAACTGTAGCGTCTGAGGCTGGAAATAACATTTGAGTATGATTATTTTATTTTCATTTTTCAGTCACTCGATGTTTCATTTTTCTTAAAATTGCAGATAATGCATTTCAACATTTGGATGATAAGTAAAATATATTCAACATTGTCTAGTTATCTAGCTTTTCAATGACTTCTGATTTTGTTAATCTGTGTGATCAGTAATATATGTCCAGACACCTTTCTTAAGAAAAAATAATTCCTGCGAATTCATTTCATATACATTTCATTCATTGTCATTTCATACAAAATATAATTCATATAGAACATGGTAATGTGAACCTGTATGTATGTTTATTACAGATATTCGCTTTTGTAATATTCTTTTAAACCAGTGCATTGCCTGGAAATTTTTATGTTACAGCAATAAATGGTGATTTAAATTTAAGGCTTAAGCATGCTGATTAAAATTCTAGTCATTATAGTTAGCTATGCTGATCTAATTACGTAAGTCAATGGTGCGGGAAGTAGTGATGATGCAAATAATGCTATGGGAGTGTTTGACAAACATTTTATTAGTTCTTTAAGCGGAAAGGACTATAGATTTCCTCCTCGTCTGTCCGTTAGTCTGTCTATCTGTCTGTTCAGGTTTTCCCATTTGGTTTTTGGGCGTTTTTCTTACAAGTGTGCAGATATTGAGCTAAGTTTTGGTATGTGAGTGTAGCTTGATGAATTATAGATCAAATTTTCATTTCATTACACTTTGAGAGTGTTGAAGAAATCGCGGGCATTCTAATTTTTAAGGGGAACCAGATGACACTTGCCGGTAGGGGACTATTTTATTGCTTTATAATACAATACTTTCAAAATGCATACATGTATTTGCTTTGTGGTTGTCGTATGTTTTAAATGATAAAAATTGATAGAACGGAAATTATTTGCTTCGTTGAAAGAAATATTGAAAGATATATATACTTACTTGTGGTCGCTGCAAGTGCTGTTGACAGAACGAATGCTGAAGAGAAACAATACAAATTCGAATTTACAAGGAAATTTTGAGATTAAATACAAATTTAAAGAATACGTCATTTCTGCTTTTTTCCATCAAGTATTATAAATAAATATTAAGAAAAAAAAGCTTTTCCAGCCCTTGGAAATAAATTTCGTTCTCAGCAATGGCTTTTGAGTGATATGAATATTCATATCCTGAAGTTTGATATAAAAATCATTCAAACAGAAGATTTATCAAACTTTGCTTATTTGTTTTAAAAGCATTGCAATCATTTTTCGATTTTTCAATAAACCCATAAAAGCGTTTAATAACATTAAATTTTCGTTTATCTGTCAGTTATATAAATTTATTAAAGTCTAGAGTACCTGAATGTAAATAAAATATTAATTATACAAAATACAATTATGGATAAAAGATAAAATTTTATGCCTCATAAAATGTTTTATTTGCCAAATTTTTCCATGGCAAGTGTCATAGTTAATAAAATTAATGTGATTATGCAAAGGCTACATTGTATCATTTGCAAGTTATATTCAGATCAGATTCGACTTATATCAGGGTCAAATTCCGAATATTTATTTTTATTTTTTGAAGTACAAGGTTTTCGGGGAGGGGGATTTTTTGGTTATTTTAGGCAGAAGTGTCAGGATGTCAATTTCTAAATGTTGATTATCTACGTTTGATTTTAAAATATTCCATAAGAGAAATTATTTCTATTACACATTAAAATAAAAATTGAAAGGTGAATCATAAGCCTGCATTTTTTTCAATGTTTTTCAACCCTTATGTTTTAGTTAATGACTCTTTCAAAAGATTGTCAATATCTGAGATCAAATGACATAATTTGTTATTCAAATTTTCTGCCAAACTTCAATTGATACTGTATTGAATTTACTTGGGGGAAAATTCTCAAATAAGTCAATATAAAATTATTCCAATTTCAGATTAAAATTTAACTATTACTCAGAATTTGAGACGACATACCTTAGAGAACATCATCAAAATTTTATTTCGGAGAACATATTGTATACAATTAAAACATATTTCTACAATGTAAAGTACGTTTGTTCATATGCTGAGAAAAAACATGGTGAATACGCGTTGAATTCATGTATACAACTTGTTCAATTTATGCAGGGTTTTCCCTTTATTTTTGTGACTCTCATTAAACAGCTGTAGCCATTATTGAATCATATTTTAGTTTGACAAGTCAATGGTACGGGGCGAACTACCTGGTTTTTATCGATCTTTGATACCGGGATGATGATAAACGTGAAAGGTATTCGTCTTAAAACTATGCTTGTAACAGTGAAGTCTTAAATAATCTACATACTTATTTTTACCATACCTGAAGGCAATAAACATGATATTTATGATGTTTTTTTGTAATTCAACCTCGCTTTTGAAGAGAATAAAATTGTCACGGTATCGAGGTACATGACACTTTAAATATCACCATTAAATTTAAAATTAAATTTAACTTGGGTAAGAGAAGTAATATTTCTTGATAACTCAAAACTGCAAAATACTTCTTATTGATAAAATATATCATACATAAAATTGAGAAGTAAAAATTCATAAATTTTGCAGAAAAAAAGGAAACAGTAATGTTGAAATTGGCAAAATGAATACAGTATATTGCATTACTAAAATTTCAAAACATTACGTGCTAATGGTTTATGTGTATTTAAAATAATTCATCTTGAGTAACCAAAGTCAGGTGCTTTTTCTCCACACCTTTTTCTTTTAAATTAATCTTAACCCGAGGAAGTCTGCTGCTGCCCAGCTATTGATTCCTCTAAATTATAGCATAAAAAGTGTAGTCATTTGCGCATTTAAGACACGCTAATCCTCTGAAATAGAAGAAATATTACTCACCTGCCGTCAAGCAAAATGCCATTTGGTATTTCATCTCAGTCATGGTGAAGGCAAAATCAGGTAATATCAGTAATCAACAGAACTCTAGACTACAGCTGTAAAAAAGAAAACAACGGCACTCTGTTTGTACAGAATGGATCGTGTAAAATATAATCAACAGTTTCTTCCTTTAGAAGAGCCTCGTTGGTTATGATGATGAAGGTGACTTGATCCAGTCTCACTTTAGGAGATATAGTTGAACAGGTCTTAAAAGAAAAAGTTAAGATATATATACTTGTAGTGGGTGTTTATAAACTGGAGAAACACTATCAGTACCTGATATAACATAAAATACACATCAAAAATTAAATTTAGGAAGTAACAACGTGGGAAATGATAAAGGATATCACAGTTAATCCCTCAATTAGTCTGTTCCTTTGAAATTGTCGTGCAATGACATCTAAAGTTTAATTATCTAACAGAAGTGAATATCATAATAAAGCCTTTTCAAAATATCCTATGATGTCATTCTACAATTCATTCATCTTCGACATGGGATTTACATGTAAGAGCTCACAATGTCAATTACCAATAGGTTAGTATCTCAGATTATGCTCGCGAGAGTAATGCTATTTATTCTCACATGAGCCTTTGGCTTAGGTGAGCTAAACATATTCTAAACATATTCTGTTAAGTCATATCCAAATTACTTATATATTGCTCACTTTGAAATAACCATAACAATGAGATCAGTTCCAGAGAAATCTACCAAAAGGACATCAATTTTAAAATTTATCAAATAGGAGGATAATTTCAACGTCAATTGGTTACTTCAGATCACAACATTGCGTAATAAAGCAATGACACACAATGTAAGCTTTCCTACTTATTCAAATAATTTTTCAAACTAATTCAGATATATTAACCCCTTTCCCTTGCTCCATAAAATCATAACATCCAGTTTACATAATAGTTAAAAATGACTTTTAGTAAATAAAACTGAGATGTGCAAGTAACCTTTAATAAACGATGGAGTGTTCCAAGGAACGCATCTGTCGCCTGCTACAGCATCAGCAGCTTATAAATATTAGAGTGATCAGCTATTTATTTACATACTAGTATTGTAATACGTTTATGTATTTGCCTTCAGAGAAAAATATATTTTGGATATTAAGACTGCAATGGCAATGAAAAAGAAATATGATCAACCATCAAAGCTATCTATAGCAACTGCAGCTTATTTGAAGTACGATCCATTTCGATATACCGATCCCGATGTATTGAATACTTCGTATATCCCACTTGAAAAGCGGGTGATGTATGGTGATGGGCGTGTCCGTCCGTCCGTCCATCTGTCTGTCTGTATGCCCGTCCTTTGTGTCTTGGGGTACACATCTCTTATCCGCAACTCCTCCTTTACCACTGAATATAATTTAATGATACTTTCACAGAATCTTTATTACAGTGCCATTGTACACCTCCTATTTTACTTTTTGATCTGACACTTACATCTAGCCTCCCATAGTAAAACATGGATTTTACCATTATAATCATATGGGAGGCCGGGGGTATCATTTTGTGATCTTTGTGCTCACAGTATCTCTAATTTTAAAGTTCAAAATTTTGTGGTTACTGTATATCATACAGTTAAAGAAAACTGTCATGAGCTCATTATCATGTAATACATATGTATAAGTGCTACTTATCGAAACTTGTGCATTTCAATATTCAGAAAACATTAAATTTTGAGTATTTTAGTAAAGTGTATCAAAGGTCAAGATTAAGAAGACAGTAACACTGTTTTCTGCACAATGTTTTTCGACAAACATTGAACATGGTAACTATCTTGCATACCTCGAAATGTCTAAAATTATGCTGTATATCGGCATTAGGAACAATTTTGAAAGTAGGTCAAATTTAAGTTGAAAAGTCAGGAGGTCGTCAACCATGATATTCTTCAAAAGCCATAGTGCCAAGAAGGGTATTTTACAAAAGTCATAGTGCTAAGAAGGGTATTTTACAAAAGTCATAGTGCCAAGAAGGGTATTTTACAAAAGTCATAGTGCCAAGAAGGGTATTTTACAAAAGCCATAGCACCAAGAAGGGTATTTTATAAAGGCCATAGTACCAAGACGTACATAACCGAAAAATCTTATCAATACCTCTTACAGTTCTCAGACAAACAGACGGCCGAATAGACAGACTGAGGGACAAACAGACAGGATAAAGTGATCTCTTAGTGTCGCTCTGCAAAAGTTTTCAATTTAAAATAAAATCAAAATCAAAAAAGGAAATTTACAAATGAAACCTCTTCTACCAAAAATCTTGGAAATAAACGTTTAAGCTACTGGTTTTGAAAATATCAAATTCTCATCTTAATACATGCGTCTAATGCAATGCGTATGAAAATTATGAGTTGCTGAAAGAATCTATAGCTAATAGCAGTGACAAGGTCAAAATATATTTTTCACAATACAATAGATCAATATGAGAATATGACTTCTAAAAATAGCTGTCTGCTCATTAATGTAAGTGGATATCAGTTTGACATTTACAAGGTTTGTAATTAAGATGGCATTGCAAAGGTACCCTGTTTTTGTTTGCAGTATTGATTGTTTCTGGGCAATGTCATTTATTGTCTTAACTTGATTTATGTTGAACCATTTAAAGAGATAAAAAGGGAAAATGAATTACTCCATGCAAGGGGAATTGAATATTTTTTGGACGAATAGATCTCGAGATGCCTGAAGATGAAAGCAAGGCTAATATATTCAATATGATAGCTTAGCATAAAAGCAACAAAGAAAAAAACAAGGGTTCATTCTGACTACTGATAAATAAATGTTCGGGGTTCCAAGTATGACATTTTATGTTAGTTACTGAAACATAACTTTCTATAATTCTATATTGTTAAAAAGTATACGATGGTTATTTTGTACCACATTCTTTTTTATCTTGGAGTTTATCCAATAAAAAGTCAAACATTTCAGAGGTTATCATTTGCAGTTATAATTTTTTAAACGTATTTATGATATTTGACCCTTTTAATATGGAAAATTTTATTTATGCTTAAAGTTGCAGTGTGTTTGCATCCGGTATGTTTATAACAACCATAAATGTCATATCTAACTGTGGACCGCCAATAAGTGATTGATCTAATGGAAAAATAAGATTACTGAAGCTTTATCTTCTGTGTGATAAACCTTGTCCACGTGTTTAAGACCTCTGGTGAGGTTAGACAGTTCAATTCCCGTCTCAATCAATGATGTAATATACGTTTATTGACCACTTGTAGCAAAGCTGATAATATTCGGTCTGTTGTAGCTTCATTACCTGGGTAATTGATTAAATAAGAGCAATACATTGGTGTGCTTTATTATTTATTACGTTCTTCCGTGCTAAAAGATTCACTGCGTCTTGGCTTAATTCACGAACGATTGCTGACACTGGTTTGAACAGCATTTGCCTCTAACAAATACAATCCTATATTCTTAATTAACCTATATTTTGTAGTTCATGTAAAATATCTCTTCATTTGAAAAGGCATACATAAAAGGAATACATTCTAAAACTAATATATGTAATGGAATTAAACCACAGAAGTTAGACAAGTTTTTCTTTATATTTTACATAGACCTCTTGATATACATTTATACCACATAATATACAACATGAGTATAAATTTCAAAGGAAAATTAATTACGTCTAAACTTTATCTATTTCGTAATTATATATATAATTTATACGTAAATATATATACTAGTATTTGAAATTGGTACATTTAAAAGTTCTTAAAAATTATAAAGCTGAAATGCAGTCACATATGTTTTAAACAACTGTTTTTAATGGATGTTTGACGATACGGACTTTCTGAATATGATTGCAAGAATACTTCGGGCCATCATTTCACACTGAAATGACCACGAATTCCTCCGTTTACCCAATGCAATCACGACAAAGAGCACATGGCGGGTGTGACCGATGGACAGGGAATGCTTACTCCTGCATGGTACCTGATCCCACCTCTGATGTTTCCAGAATTCCGTGTTTGCTCTGCTCACATTTTGTATAATTTCACAGGAGCTTTTGAGGATGATTACAGTACTGTTCGTTATCTTTATAGTTCATTTCATGAATTGCTCAGGTATACACAAATGAACATTAAATGACCACACGTAAATATTAAATGCTTTGTTGACGAAGAGATGTACATGCACATATTAATATATCCACGGTAATCGAAAAACAGGCGTCGAAACATTTGTTCCAAATTAGATTGACAGCAATTGAGGGATAATGGTCCCAGTGTCTGATTATATCATGTGGAAAATATTTTTCAATTTCCTACAAAGAACTCTGAATGATTTTATCAATGTTGAAGCAAAAGACAATTTTAATGTAAAGGATTTACTATAGATTAATCAGTTTGTGCATTTTATGAGCAAAGCTGTGTTTTTCACACATAAATGAAATGAATGTAACAAAGTGAAAAGGCAGCTATAGGTTATTGATGAATTTATATACATCAAACATATAAAGTCGGTGATTTTACAAATTAATAAAGAATACAATTAAATACAAAAACATGTATATAAGTTAAGCATACATACAAGTTTTAAGGCAATGAATTCTATTGTAAATCTTACGTAATCTTATAAAATTAATAATAGTAAAAATGAGTAATAGTCTGCTCTCGTTAACAAAAATAGACTGTTTCTATTTGTTTTTTCCTTTGTTGTTTTTAATGGACGTTCTTACCTCTAGGATATGCTACTTTTTTATTTTCTTTTCTAACATGTACATTTAAGATTGCAATTGTCTCTACTCCGGCTGCCTTTCATTCGGGTATTTTACTAGTTTTCATACCTTCTGTTTAAACTTGTATTTCATCTCGTTCTGTGGCAGAATTTTTTGCCACTTTTTGTTTTGATTTATCTGTTTGTGATTATTATGTAACATGTACTCAATTTGGTCCGTTTGACCTCTATATTGGTTTGTTTGGCCTCCCAGTACAAGTATTTAATAACAAGTGCATTTAGTTGTCGTTATAAAAAATTGCAATTGTGGAAACACAACAAAAAAATTCTCTTGTTTTTGGCAAGATCTGCCTTCTTTTAAAGCATTAGCTTTTGGCTGAAAGAAGTTTTAAATCAAATTAACAACATACAAAGTACAATAAATAAATGTTGAATAACATATTATTCAACAAGCAATAGAAACACATTGATTTTGTGACGGGCAGGTTTGCAAATTACTAACACCGTGCTTTTAATTTTGCAGATAACATCGTGGAAAACTCATTTATCACTTTTTAACTTGATAAGTGTCATAAATTTCTCCACATATTGTATAATTAGATTCATCAGCTTCCAGGTAGATTTTAATATTTTATGCGTTAACGGACAAATGTTTTTTTTTAATACCTGAGAGATAGAGAGAGAGAGCTCTGACTATATTTAATATTACATTTGAACGATAACGTTCTTCGTGTGCTTTGCACAATAATTGTGAATTAGATACACTCTTCAGGAAAAAAAATTCTTACATAAATTTTATATGTTCTTCTATCAATAGTACGGAAGCCGGTAGGTGCCAGGTAGAAAAATATTTTATCTGGCGGCCGCCAGAACTTATCTTGCGGCCGCCAGATAAGTTATCTGGCGGCCGCCAGAAAGTTATCTGGCGGCCGCCACATAATTTCTGGCGGCCGCCAAATAACTTTCTGGCGGCCGCCAGATAACTTATCTGGCGGCCGCCGGAAAATTATGTGGCGGCCGCCAGGTATTTATGTGGCGGCCGCCAGATAAAATATTTTTTCTACCTGGCACCAACCGGCTTCCGTACAATAGTACGTTTTAATAAAGCGTGTTTAAAGATACATCAGAAATCATTACAACTTCTGAAATTTACAATAATCCAAAGTCATACTGTAACAGGTTTGACGAAAAGTCTTCAATTTTCTACTTTAATATTGCAGCTTTATGAAGTGCAGTTATACGTGTAAAAAAAAATGTCTGATCTTTGTAGAGATTTCTTTTATTTCATCGGTATGCTTTTCACACATATTTCGACAATTTTTATATACTGAAATAATCATCGTAAATAATACAATGGATATTGTGAACAGAGCCACGTGGACCTCCGGAAACGTCAGAGGTTGGATCAGGTGTCTTTGAGAAATGAACATCCCGTGTTGATCTGTCACACCCGCGTGTGCATCTGGTCATAACTGGGTAAACGGAAAAATCCGAAGAGAATTCCGTATGAAAAAAATAATGGCCTAACACTTTGTATGAAAGAAGTCAGTCAAAATTCGATAAAACGAGATTGAATTTGCAAACAAAGTTAGGTAACGCGATGGAATTTGCAAAAGTTGATTTGAAACGAGATTATTGATACTTCTGTATCATCAACTTTTTTATCCGTCTGCGCCAAGTTTTAGAAACTGTTCGTATGTAGAGCATGTTCTTGCATATTGAATAAATTGGGAGACTGTTGATGATAGGGAAAATATTTGGCAAAAATGATTTTCCCGATAAATCTCCGAGGATTTAGCAGAAGATAAATAAAACTTGCGCAAAAATTTTAAACGTTGAAACAACATGTTGAACTTGTTAAGTGGCATATATGAACTTGCAAAATGACTGATATCGTAAGATATTGTCCTTTAACGATAAATTTATGTGACAAGGTACCATTTTTTATTGGTAGAGAGAAAACTCCAGGCCTGATTACAAAGAACCTGAATTGATCTCTTAAATACATGTAGGGATATTTTTTTGTATTACTTTATGGCACGGTTAGTTCCAAGTACATGTATAGAGAAACGCTATGTAACAGTTTGAAATCAATAGGTAAACCTTACTAAAATGCAAAAGGATGTTTAAGATTGAATTCAAATAAAAGTGTCCTTTGTTCATTTCATGTAAAAGACTCTTAAAGATAAGGAAAATGGGGGAACACACACAATATATAAATAAAACTGCCCATGCTTTTTAAAATTATCTGGGCAAGAATCAGAGGAAAATGGGATGATGAATCGCGATTCCTTCCAAGCGTACCAGCAAAAATTACCATAATTACACAATTGACTGCAGAATAAATACAATTTCCCCAAATTATGATATTTTAAATCTGGATCATTAAAAATTGCGAAACCAAAATCAGTCAAGGGCAGGTAAAGGATATTTAAAAAAAAAAAAGAAAAAGAAAATTAAATCAAGTTTAGATTTTAGGGGTTTAGAATTAAATTCATAAACGTTCATGGTGAATTTAAAATTTTAAAATGAACCATACTGAAAATTTTACACCGTAATTTGAAATGACATAAAGAGAGCAATAAAATGTGAATTAATTTATCAAACAAGTCTCTTTTTGCAGTTTACATTACTTACACTAGTCATAGAAATAAATGCAACCTCCATATTTTATGGTTGAATGGCAAACAATGATATATATTTTAAATAACTACATTTTTTAGAATCGTTCTTTGTAGAATTATGGCTCTTTTCCATCCGTTTGTCACTATCGAACAAGTTGCAAAAAAGTATCACATTCAAGTCTGAACTTGATGACTTTAAATAGTGTCATACTTTTTTCTAAATAAAGCAGAGCAGTTTTAATCAAGAAAAAGATAAAGTTATTGAAAAAATAATAATCATGCAATTATTTACAAACTGAAAAAAATATTTCAAAACAGTCGATTGTACTGTTCAAACACATGGGTCCAAATTATCCCCAATCAGTTGAGTATACTAAATCGAGGGTTAGGGCTGGGGCCGGGGGAGACTTGGAGTTACAACTTTTAGGGTTTTTGATTAACAAATAGGACAATTTTTTGATAAATAATGATGGATTTTGTGAAAAAAGTGCTTTCTCTTGCAAATCCATGTCAATAGGTGTACTGTGTGTATCGATTGATCGTGAATTTGGACTCGTTAAATAAATTAATATTTTTTTTAAATAAAGAGATATAATGGAATAGAAACCAACTAAATCTCAAATTGTATCAAAATTTCCAGTTAAAATTGATAAAATAAAACAAGGCAATTAAAAAAATCTAAACACGTAATAAGATTTAGGTTTATTATTGTTCTTGGATAGTTATGCTCCATTTTAACCTTGCAAGCACGTGTAAAGCACTTACTCGAATTTATCCACTGACTTTATCAAATTCACCAGGGAGTGAACAGAAAAAATACTATCTGCTCAAAATGAATATTTCATAGCAATTATTTTCAAATATAAAATTGCAACAAGTTACATGATAACGTCTTTATTACTTTGATTATATTTAAATATGCCGGCGGGGGGGGGGGGGTGTTTGATAACCGTGAGAAACTAAATAGCTTTGAAAAACCGTACGAAAATATGTCATTAATGGTAATATGCTTCAAGCTGCAGATATGAAACTGCATTGCGACATCTTGCATTGGAATATTATCATTATTGATTATACATTTATTCACATCAAATAATGTGTCCCATAATTGCCAAATTTAGTGATAAATATCCTCATTATTTCCCATGACTAAAGTTGTAGGATTTAATATCAATATTTCTTGACAATGTAAATCAACGCCTTTTACCACATTCTCTGTATGGATTAATTGATATAACATCAAGCTAGGAAAACAGAAATACGGTTCCGTTTTTAGTGTGCATACTTGGTTTCCGTGCGCGAGATTTCATTTTTCTCTTAGCTCCTCTTCGATATCCTGTTAATATGACTTTAAAATTTAAATATTGCGTAAGAAGAGTTTTGTTCAATTCCAACAACAGATTCAGCTTCAATCCTTCGGGCGAAGATGAATTTAAATTATGGTCTGCAGCTTTTAAACTTCGATTGCAGCATTAAAGTGAGACACACCAACAAGGTTTATAGACATTTTAATCCCTACACTCGATTTTTATGGTGGAGATTTGATATGTACACGTAGACAATACACCTTTTGTAATTCAGCTGCACCATTCTGCCCTCTTAATTAACTTTATGTCAACAAACTTTTGTTTGTCAAATTACATAAAGTATCATTAATCTAAAAATTGATTCTATCATGCAATTTACAAAACCAAATTATGCTTATTGTTACATAAAAAATAAGGTAGGATTTTTTGTTGTTGTTTAATTTCTTTTTCAAAATACATTTTTAAAGACAGCTCTTTTCCCTTAGTCATAAAATATAATTTCATCTAAAATTTACCCAACAGCTCTAACAATGGCTGCTAATTAGCCTTACAATCTGTTAAGTTTAAAGGAAAACGTACAGGCTTGCAATTTTCGGATTGTGTATATATATATATATATATATATATATATATATATATATATATATATATATATATATATATATATATATATATATATATATATATATAGGTTGGATGCATAAATTAGGGTTGGTCGGGTAACCATCCATAAACAAACATATTATTTCCTAGGCCTTAGAGACAATTTGCAGCACTAAAAATTATTCATCTTCCTCTTTATTAGACTTCATCTGCTCCTCTCACCAACTCATGTACATATCTTGTACCGATCTATTTTTTAAGCAGTTAAGAGACTGTATCATTCACAGTCTCATATAAACCGAGATAAATGATAAATCTTACATTAAAAGAAACATAATATCGAGAAAAGAAAAAAAAGAAAGAAAGAAAAAAGGATTTTTTATTAAAGAAAAAATAAAAATTAACTTGTTTGGAAAGCATAAATTATTTAAATTATCATAAGAAAGTACCAAATGATTTTCTGAGAGAAGAACAACTCACCTTCTTTACTGTCTTCAATCTCCTTGTCCATCTACGCAGATGAGCTTTAGCAGCAGAACGGTAACCAGGGAACGGTCATAACAAGCCTTCTATTGGAGGATTCTGCAACAAGCACTCACCTGCTCCGTTGTTGTGACAATGTGATGAATAATTTTACCTTTGTTCTGTCTCTGCATTAAATAGCCTACACTGATTGCATCTTGTGTGTGCCATTACATAAGGTGGTAAAATGAATATTGTGGATTTAGAAAACGTCTTCAGGCAACAAAAAGCATAAAAATCAGCGACTTCCTGGTAAATGTGCATAAAGGTTTTACCTTTTATGTACTGCTTCCCTGTGCTCTAAAATAGTGTAATATTTATTAGTAACAAATGGAATTAACCTAGTATATTATTTAGAAATGCAAAGAAAATGATAATTTGTATATGTAGCATCTCATTTACACAATAGAAAGATGTTATTACTTTCTTTAGCAAAAATAGAGATCAGACACCAAAAACAACAAATTAAGTTAATTTTAATATTTTTTTTGCCTATTCCTAAAAGATGTTTCCCAAAATATTTGAAAACAACAAATTTGGAAGTTTCTGTTCAGAGGAAAGTGAACAACAACAAAAACCTTTCAACGTTTATTTTAAATAAAATATCTTGCAACTAACATTGTAGAATTCAGAAATATTGGATTACATCTATAAAAAGTTTTAAATTAGCCTCTTTTGTTCAAACCGAAACAATTCCAAGAAATGATGAATTACATTGCGCACACCCGATAGTGAAGTTCTCTACATTACAGAAGGTGATTATCAGGACGTTATTTGGTCACACATTTTTCGCTGATTACCCCGAATTTAAATCGGTGATGCAGGTGGAACAGAAATGATTTTTACATCACGTGTGGTTCATAGGCGCACCAGTGACATAAAATACACGAGGACGTAGAGAGTAATAAAAGCTAATAATAGCATTATTTTTGTAATTTTCCGTCGTAGATCAAGTCAAAAGCTATACAGCCAAAAAAGGTTTATTAGAACTGAAGTGTTCGCAAGTGCATTTCTTTCGTTCGGATCAACTTTCAAGAAGCAATGTAGAAAAACTACTAAATTGCAAATTTTAAACATAATAAAGGATTATAAAGGATTAACCATTAAACATAACAAAGGATAAAGGATTAACCATGAACACATTATGTTAAAAATGACTGACCATTAAAAAGGTCAAGATAGGTTCATATTACAGATTTTCATAGTCATATTTAGATCATAATCTATTAAACAAAAAGGTTTCAGAATTTCAGTTTTATACCGAGGAATCAGCAATTGATATGTGTATCAAATGTTATTAATTAAAAACCTTCCTCGTGGATTTATATGCTCTGTTCATACGCAGAGTTTGAACTGCGAATTAAATATGGACCGAGTGCATACGGAGAATTAAATGCGAATAATTTTAATTCGAATTAATTTACTACGCATCAAATTACTTCGCATTAACTCCAAGTGAATGCCAAGAGAAGCTAATTCAATTAAATTTTGACGCATTTATAATAGCAAAATTAAGCCACATGTCGGTGGTCAGATATAAGTAATATATAAGATATAAGTATGACCAGTGTTGCTTTTTGATATTTTTGCGTAAATAAAGTAAAAGAATATTTTTGATGTTTTTTTTTTTTTTTTTAATTTGTGATTTTTTTATCACTATAATAGTCTTCAACAAGATTCAGTAAATTAGCCATATTTATATGAAGTCTTTTAGCGAATCAAATCGCATGGATTGTACATGTTAAGCTTGAATTTTCTCTATTTTTAATAATGCATCAATCGCAATAATATACATGTATACAATGTGAGGACTACAAGTGCCCCATTCATAAAAATGACAGCCACAGGGAATATTTTGATAGAATTGGTGACAGTTTTTAGATGCATATTAAAGTATCATTTAGACAATTAAAATTCAGACTGAATAACATCTTTCCTTTCCTTTTCAGAAAATGTTAGTAATAAAGTAATTCGAAAACTAAATGGACAATACGAAATGCTCCCAGCGGGCAAAGGAAACAATATAGGCTTTGTTTATAATGTCTCATATGGACAAATATATTTGAGAAGACCTGAATAATTTCACACCTGGAAATCCAGCCTTTTCACAAGTTCCCTTTCACAGAATTAAATTCTTCAGTTTTTATTGATTTCCTAAATACAAAGGTACATTGCAGGGTCCAGTAAATGTTTTTCAAAGCCCCATCTTTACTCCTCTCAGAAATGGTAACTGCTGTGAAAGAGAAACTTCAGATGGATTGTGCTACAAAATATTTAAAAAGTGGTATAAATGAAATGTGGATACTAGAAAACTTTTAAAAGTGTTTACAAAATATTGCTCTCCCCTCCCTCCATTAAAAAAACAATCGCAGAAAAACTCATGACTTAGATACCTCTTGTCGAAAACAATTTTACTGAATATTGACATTAACGACATACTCCTGATTAAACTCCATGACAAACAGCCAGACATCAAAATTTTCAGTATCAAGTTCACCTTAAATTTTTATGATGCAATACCTAATCTTCTTATTGTGTTTTTGTCTCTCAAAATATTCGGTAGGCAAGAGCACATTCTGAGTGTGAGTATGATCTCTATAAAACCAGGATTGGGTTTCTTTCAAAGTTTATGTTACAGATGTTTAAAGCTAGCAATTCGCACATTTTATGGTCGTAAGATAATGGCTGTTTGCAAACAAAACCCATAGTTGAGTTCATGTTGTTAGGCCATTGTTTTCATTCTTTTTGACTGCGGACTACTTTCTTTACCTGATCGATACAAAGGGATCATGGTAGGTATCACAGTTCATGAGCGATGCATACGTACTCCTCCAAGGTACTTCCAATATCTGGTGTCTCCAGAGGTCCAGGTTTTTTCTTTCTTTTTTTTTTTAATTTATTTATTTATTTATTTATTTTTTTTTTTTTGGTTGTCAAAATTAGTTTTGTTTAAAGGGTTCATGAGATTGAACGCTACTCGTAATCCTAACCTTTTCATCATTCTCCTAAATTAAACATTTTCTGTCATTTTCTGATAAGTTAGCTTTATAAAATGTATTTTATATTGCTAATTAGACTACATTTCGTTATAAAAGTTCATATTCTTCTTATCTGTATACTACAAATGATGTTATATAAACGCAGTTATTTGCACAATATGAAATATTCAGGATTACGTATAAAAAGATCATGTAAATGATATTTCTGGAAAATTATTTTTAACAATAAGGAGAGTCAAGTCTGGACTAAAACAGGCTGGGTTCATCAGAAACTATGGCTACTAGCCTACAACTCCATATTTCTAAAATTGCTTAGAATGTGTTGAGCTGCATATAATGTTGAATACAAATACTTAATGAATAGTACTTGTGAATTGATAAATCTGAAATTTTATTAAACATATATAGAGAGATAATATCAATTTTAAAGACATTTCAGATTCGAGTCTTTTTCCCAAGGGTTTTTTTTTTGTTATTTTAATTGCCTCACTAATTCTTCATCATCTTAAAGAAGTTGAAATACAACTGTTTCAGTTCTGTTATCGATGTTGACTATTTATGACATTTCTTTGACAATATCTTAAGTACCTCTGATGTTCTGTCAGTATATACTCTTTGTTTCGATGGAGAACGTCAATAGTTTTGATTTAACATTTAACATGACGAAGAACTTTCCATGTGTTCTTGAGTATATATATTGAAATGTCTTATAGATCATTCGATCTTGTGCATTTCTGATAGCTAATCAGGCTTCTGATCAATACTTCTTATGAAAGATTATAAATGTTTTGCGAGAAAAAAATCTCAGCAATGTAAAAACTGCAAAAAGAGTGACATGTTTTTACGTTCAAATCCATACGGACGTCATGTCAAATCTGAGAAGTTGCCTACTGTTTTCTGATGAAAGTTTTCATGTCTTAAGGGTATATCCTGTTCTATCTGGGACATCTCTCTGAAGTAATATACAATGTATGATCATTTAGTTTAGCGTGCTTAAATAGCTATAAAAATTGATCAAATAAAAAATGATGAAGCATTTTTTTTTTACATAAATCACCAGACATCAAAATTAAATGTGTTAAAATAACTTTCTCAAGACCTACATAAAGGTGAACCGATATATTTGATGCATTAGATCTTACTTCTTTTCTTTTGATACCAGAGTCAATACTCATGCATTTTTTCTGCTGTTTAGTTTCAGCAATTAATCAGAAAAAACCAAACAGAGAGGTATTTAAATTCAAACAAACCCTAACGAAAAAATACTATAGTTAACTATAGTTTACTTGAGTTAACTACAGTTAACTATAGTATCAAAGTTTTTACTATAGTAAGTCAGTTTTTTTACTATGGATTTCAGATTGTTATATTTTTTGTTCTAAAATTCATATATGCACGGGTTTTTTTTTATATTAAATAGAAGTATAACATGTGTATTCATATATTATTTCTAAATTTTACATCACTGTTATCAAATTTAAGAGATTTTATGCTTTGAAATCTGAAAAAAAGTTACAGTAAAGTTCCATAGTAAATCGTAGTATCAAAGTTTTCACTATAGTTAAGTATAGTTAACTATAGTAAACCATAGTTAACTATAGTAAATTTTTGTTAGGGAATGTTCCTTATTGACATATAATACATTTATAAGCCGACTACCACGCCCTCATCGACGAGACATCATTAGTCTCTGTGAACACTTGTAACAAAGGCAAATAATTTGCAAAATTTAACAGCATGCAAAACTTGAATTATCCTTTTGATATGACATCCTGCGTTTATACACTTCATTTATTTGAAAACTATATTTTAAGTGACAACTCAGTGTTTATTGATTTATTTATTTTTCATACATGCCGGTAGTTTTGTAAGACAGATACTGCTATTTATGATGAAAATTTATGGAACATACATGTAGTACTTTAATTTTCTTCGGTTACATTAACAAATCCTGTGGAGCTACATTTTACATGCAGTACTTTATAAAGACAAGGTCGCGTGCAACATCTTTCACCAAATTGCCGATGATCGTATGAAATAGTTCAACCTTTACAAAATCTGATATAAAAACAATTTTAAAATACGTTATAAGATTA